TTAATAGTTATATTATAGTTAAAACCACAAACCTACATTACCTTTGAACTCTACCTTTGAATGGAAATTACTTTAAAATTATCTTTGTTGATGAAATTACAAGCCACATATCATGTAGGAGCAACACCAGATCCGATATAGTTTCAACAAATCAAAAAAATCCAAATTATCCAAACCTATAGGAGCTATAAGAAAATTAAATCTTGTCTTATATAATGCTTGTTGGCTACAATAGAGAAAATTTATAACTTTTTCATTCATTCATATGATATGCAATTTTTTTTTTATACAGATATGTATAAACCCTCAATATCTAACAATATTTATATTCAGACATGTATAAACCATCAATATCTAACAATATTTATATTCAGATATGTATAAACCATCAATATCTAACAATATTTACATTCAGATATGTATAAACCATCAATATCTAACAATATTTATATTCAGATATGTATAAACCATCAATATCTAACAATATTTATATTCAGACATGTATAAACCATCAATATCTAACAATATTTATATTCAGATATGTATAAACCATCAATATCTAACAATATTTATATTCAGATATGTATAAACCATCAATATCTAACAATATTTATATTCAGATATGTATAAACCATCAATATCTAACAATATTTATATTCAGATATGTATAAACCATCAATATCTAACAATATTTATATTCAGACATGTATAAACCATCAATATCTAACAATATTTATATTCAGATATGTATAAACCATCAATATCTAACAATATTTATATTCAGATACGTATAAACCATCAATATCTAACAATATTTATATTCAGTTATGTTTATTTTTCAGTCTTTCCTGGTACGTCAATCAAGTCACAAGGAATCACTAGCTCTATCTGTACAGTCTAAAATAGAAAAAAGTTCCACAGTAGACCATTATTTAATAGAGACAACAGAGAAAGGATTAAAGTTACAAGGGTCATCCCACTATTTTAACACCATACCAACTTTAATAACACATTATATACTAAATCTGTAAGTCATTTTAATGTTTATTAGTATGTTACAAAGCTAAGATCCACCTTCCAAATGGCAACCATATTGGTATAATAGAATGGACTATTGTTTGGTACAGTATAATGTCATCTGATGTCTATCCAAATTTGATTTGAAAAGAACATGTGCACCTTGGTTTCCCAAAGGATCCTGAACTTTGGAGACTTTTGAGAATTTGTTGATACTGCCTAGTATCATATATCTGCATTGTTAAAGTTTCAGATAGGCTCAAAGTTTCAGGTATTGATGGCATTGTATGTGACATTTTTGAGACATACTCAAATGTGGCAATATTTAAAGAGTTTGTTAAGAGGTTTTCTAATCTTTTCATGTGTATCAGAGCCTTTTATGGTTTCTTTTCGCGTAAGTAATCAGCAGTCATCAGGAGCTAGTGTCGTTAATTTGTTATTCAGATAAAGAGCTGGAGAAAATCCTCTGTTGCTAAAAACTCTTAGTAATGATGGGAACAAGTTTTTTGTCAGTTAATAAGTAATTGAAGAATGAGTAATGTTTTGGTCTGAGATAATTTATGTTATAAATAAGGTTATATTTAACCTCCTCTCAGGTTATAAATCATCTGATATTAATTATGATCAATCAAGTCATTAGTTAATTACATATAACATATACTGCGTTATATCAGCCTTGTTTATCAAAATAGTGTCTGCTAGAAAGCAAGATCTTTTTGTTTTGTTCAAAAAATTCTAAAGTGGTCCATTGTTAGGCTCTTATCTGGTACGGGTACAAGTATATGGATATATATGGATTTGGAATTACAAAGTTATATGCTCTTTTCTCCTTGTTATATTGAAATGGCACTTGACATGTGATTATATGATAATTACATCCAATGATAATGTCAACTGTATAAAATGGTATTTACTCTATCAAAAAACCTGAGAACCTTCCTCTGTGAATTCATTTTGATAGTGTATCAGATACATGTTTACTGAAATTGATGTGAATACAACTCAGTATTATTTAATGAATGGTTAAACTTAAAGCATTTGTGTTCTTAATGATCCACAAAGACAAACTTGATTTCAAAACAGGATGTTGTTAGAATGAGTGGAATGAAATTTTTAAAGCTCTACCTTAATCAGATTAGGATTTGACCAGGATTCAAACTTAAATAAAAAATCTATGCATGTGTTGATGATAATATATGATTAATAGGGACTACTTCCTTCAGAAAGTGTGGGCGATATTCTGGCTAAATAACTGTAAATATTTCTATCTTTTAATGAAATAACCACTTGACTGATGAATTTACCACTAGAAACCTTGTGGTTGATTTGGAACAGTAGTAAAGATGTTTACAGTTTATTACCACTCTTATCAAATATCTAGAGATTTTCACTAATCATTAATAGTGAGAAGGAAATTGACTGGAAATTATTGTTACTATATATATTGTTTTGCTGTTATTTTTAGAGATGAACTGCCTCATAGATTGATCTTGCCTGCCGTTATTTTTCATGCCAAAACATCACAGGAATTATCAGCATTGGCTATGTTAGGACAAGGTAAGATTGACAGATTAACTGTGTTTTTATATCTTTTCTCCTATTTATATTGGTTTGTTTTCTTCTTTCCTGACAACTACCATGTATTAAGTTCATTATTAAAACTGTTATTGTTTATTATTTCTTATACTAACGTTTCTATCACAAATTTGGAAGTACATGATTCTCTATACAAATACAGTGCTCAAAGTGAATGTGACCTTATTTAACTGTGTTTTTTGGACCAATTTATTTAGGCTCCAGGCACAATTACAGGTGATTTATAGTAGTATGGCTTACAAATTTTAAAAAAATCACACAGATCTGGTTTTGTTTTGAATCAGTTTGTTTTTCATACTTGTTGATCTTGAATGATATTACCCTCTTAGATATATTCCAAATAAATAGAAGTTTTCCGTCTACAGGTACCAGATTTTAACATTAAGTAAGCATCAATTTTGTTTGTTAAATTTCTAGAAAAGGTATCTAATAATAATCATACCTTATTTTCAGATTTCTGGACCTCACCAAAATCCAAACTAACCTCATTATCAGATGGAGCACCTCTTCATAAATCCTGTAGTGAACCTATAAATATAACTCACGCTAAACCTGGACCTTGGAGTGAAACCGCTGTCAGATGTACTGTACCTTCACATTCTGTAGCAGACTTCACTCACTTCATGAGAGACAACTCCTCACAAACTATACCTGAATCATCATTGGAACCACCAGTTGTTCCTCCAAGACCTTTCAGGCAGAATTCATCAAGAGTGACTCCCCCTGATTTACAAGATTACCAACAAGCAGAAGGAGATTATCCTACACATCAATCTGGATCAGACGGACGTTCTGTGGACATGGATAGTGGTGTAGATTTAACTAAACATAGCTATGATCAGTTTCAAACTCATCCCAGGGTAACCCCCAGAAATAAATCTAGCTTATATTTTACTACTTCTTTAGATTTAGTGAACATTCCTGAAACCTCCTATTTCAAAAGCAGTCTTTCAGATAAGCTCAGTGATTATGAAGATATTTGGAAGAATTCTGTTTGTGAATCAGATAGCTTAAGGAATAATATGTGCCAAAGATTGAATAATCACTTACATACTGAAGCTGTGCAGGTTTCCAGAGTCCATAATAACATCCATGAAGAAAGTGCTACAAATGACAAATGCAATGATAAAACAAAAGTAGACAAAGTGCTTTCATCAAAAAGATCCAATTCAATAGCTTCCACCTCAGGCAGTATAAGAGTTGTCAAGGCTGTACAGCCATCAGAATTGAAAAGTTTCAAAACAGAGTGTACTCACTTTATCAAAAGCAAACCACCTCCATTACCAAATTTATCAAAAGTGAAGTCTTCATCTACTTCATCCCTCGCCACATTAACTAGTCCTGTTTATGCAGAACCTGTAGATGCTGTTAAACACAATGGTCGAACAGCTGTTAGCGTTAGAATAAGAAGGTTGTCCGCACCTTCAGGACCAGTTAAAAGAACAGAAAATTTAGTATCTAAACCTCCACCATTAGAAACTATTTTCTCTCCAAGGCAAATGATTGATGAGCAACAAAAATTCTTCACATTTACTCACCACAATACCAGAAGTAAGAGGAAACAAAAAAGACATAAAATAGCTCGTAGTCAAAGTGTTAGAACAGCAGAAGAAAACAAATCAAATATTCAAAGGAATAAACCAAAAACTCTAAAACTGAAGATCAATAATAATGACAATAAATGCGGTCAATCTATCATATCAAATGGTCGCATGAATGGTATTGATGAATCATTTTTCAGTAGTGATGGATCAGAGAATGAACTACGGAGTCCAGTGTCCAAGTTTCCAGTATATCATCCAAAGAATATTGAATCAAACAGACAATCGTGTTATTCTGAATCCTCCACAGTTCAGGATTTAATTTCTGGTGCATTACCCGAGCTTACAGTTCGTCCCATACAACCCTTATCTTTACGCAACATCAAACGTGAGTCAGAATATGATAATTTAGGACAATACGCAACAGGTCATGCACCAGCTCCAAGTAGTGTGGGAACAGTGTTCTGTTATCCATGGGATAATACCCTCTTAGACAATATATTATCTCAATCTATCAAAGTTCCTGCCATGGATATGAAAGAGAAGATTCATCAATGGCAAGAGAATAATGAAAAGTTTGAACCAGCTGTTGCTAGTAGCAACCGAACCAGTGTGACTGTTAGTGAAGGCCGTAATTCTGTGATATCAAATGAAGTGAATAATGTTCATAATATACCCAATAAAGTTGATAACAATAATCACTCAGATGATCAGACTAGTATTAATAATCTCAGTGAAAAATGTGATAGTTGTATAATCTCTAATGATAAAGTTACTAGTGATTCAGATGATGACATAATGAGTCATGATAGAGCAGATGATACTAAAAATTTTACTCCCAATATACCAGGAGGAAGAAGGCTCATGGTTTGTAAGTACAGGTTTTTTAAGGATATATATGTTTAGACTAGTTCATATCAGAAATTTGTGTAGAAGGGTAATCAAGCATTGGCTCAAAAAATGTCACCTGTGGTCAGATGTGTATTTGCAATTGCCATTGGTTACTGACGTTTGTAGTTATGTGAAGCTTTGGGAACATACACATTTAATCATTTCGATACTTGCACATGCTGTAGCAGCAGCATAAATACAATAGCAGCCTTTGAAGCAGTTGGTGCCATTAATGTTAATGTCATACACTTGAGGATTTTCTTAAATTCAAATTTTTACTTTTTACAGCTCAGTCTTCTACACAATCGACTCTAAATAAAGGACCTGGTGCTAAGATCAAAGAATATATCTTCAGGTTGGTACATTTTTAACTATGGTTTCATTAAAGTATGTTGTGCTTTTGTTCCATTTGCCTAGAAGTCAGAAATTCTTATTCTAGCTAGAGTAGATTTAATGTGTTAACATGTTGCTGCCTGATTCAACATCCCTTTCATATTATTTATAGAAGAAGAGGTTTTCTAGATTTGTTATCTTTCAATATTGTTATGTATTAAATTCAATATTTACAGGTTATCTCAAGATCGCAGTCTAATATTTGGTAGTACTATTGATAATTTTGTTCGGTGTACATTAGAAGGACAAGAAACTAATCCTCAAATTGTTATGAGAAATGTAAGTATCATATCTGAACTTTTACCTTGAAATTGAAACAGTTATTATAAGCAGGTTCTGAGTTGTTTAATCTGATTTCTACATTGCTGATTGTGTGCTGTAAACAAGAATTAAAAAGAGGTTTTATAGCAAAGCAAGAAGACATTTTTCGGATATCATTCTTGTATATTCTGTAGGTACGACAGTTTATGTCGGGTATTAAAAATTATCTAATCAAACATGGTGAAGGTGAACTACAAGATATGATAGAAAGAGAACGTAGCAAGGTAAGGTCCTGAAATTTAAGCCTACTGTATCATTTCAACATTTTAAGAGCTTTAAGTGTCCTCTCTGTCTGCAAGACCTCAAAATAGTAGACAATATTTGAACAGATACACTACATGGGTGTCTACATAAAGTGATTTGAGTTTTTTTTTTTACACTATTCATGTTGCGGTCATAAATAAATTATAAACACTACATGATATGGTAGCTAATGCAAGGAAACAGATTTCTGAATATTTGGCGTTCTGTCAAATACTGACTGACTATAGAAGTTAATTTAGTTTTCAACACTATTTTTGCTGAAATATGTTTTGTCTGTTTATTACAGCTGGGTTCATCAGAGATATTAAATATAGATTCTCTAATTGAAAGTGCTCTACATGTCTGTGTTATTAGACCATTAAAACATTATATTTATAAGTTATTTGTTCAACAATATAATAGGCAAGTATGAATATATTAAGTATGGACATTAATAGTCATGATTATTTGTATGCATTAAACTTATAACACAGTAGTGCAATGCTGTATATGGCATTCTTTTATTACATCCAATGAGGCAACCATTTTGTATATATCTCTTTGAGTGCCATCAATAAATATGTATATCTAATATGGAATTTATATGACACATTTTAGTAAAAAGTAACTTATTTCATTTAGATTTTATTCAAAGCAGAATTGCTTTGCAAGTGCCATTAAAATATCTGTAAAAAGAATACTTGTTTAAGGCTGTATTACATCATGTAAGATTTTACTATAATCAATTATAAGATGATCATGTTTTATTAATTAGGAATGGTAATTTAGAACTCATGTCTAGCAATATTAAATATGCTAGAAATAAAACTGCTGAAGAAATTGGAATCAAGGTAAGAGTATATTTGAATTTTTAATGTTTAATGTATCTAATTGGCTGATATTTTAGGTAATTATCCTGATCTAAATTACTGACCTAGGTAAAGTTATAAAATCCAAAAACGAAACAAAGCTGCTATCTTATCACATTGCAGTTGGATTTGGACAATTTGAAATTGTTTTGAGTGAGTCCTTGTAACTTTGACTTCTAAATGCCCATGATGCTCTTTGATTATGGATTATCCAATCATCATGATTTTAATTTGATGACATGTTAAAATAAAATCAATATTGATTTTGTAATTCTAGCCAGGGATAAAACCACCAGAAGGTAGTGATATGGAACTTATCAAACATTATCTAGATAAGATGCAGAAAACATATTCCCCAGTTAAAAAACTAGAGAATTTATTAGCAGCAACAACTACGATTTATCAATGTGTAAGTAATATAGCAAGTTTAACAATGATGTTAGGAAAGCATTTAGATGAAGTTAAGTCTGATGTAAGTTGCTTTCAAATAGAAGGCTTACATGCTAGTCTACTGACCATTATTAATTTTCTTTATTTAATTATTCATATTAGAGGGTTTTTGTATTTATTCTAGGCCAAAGGAAAACAGTGTCTACCAAATAGAGGACCTGGATCACTAGGAGCCGACGACTTCCTTCCAGTCTTAATATATGTGATAGTGCATTCTGGGATGGTGTCAGCTGAGATAGAGGCTGACTATATGTGGGGATTGCTTCATCCTACATTACAAAATGGAGAAGGAGGATATTATCTTACAACATTCAGTAGTGCTGTTTTAGTTTTACGCAATTTCCGTCAGACTTATGAAATGAACTTACAACAGCAACATTTATTGAGATTACCAAGTATAAGTGATATGCAGGGATTTTTAAAGATAGCAATTCCTGATGAACTTAAAGACTCTATAACGTGGAAAACTTTACCAGTTCGTCCTACTATGAATACCAAAGATGTTCGTAAGTCATATTAAAATGAAATCATTTAGATATCTCAAGTATATCTTCACTGTGTGAACTTTAGTTACAACTTTGCTTGTTCTATAACAACAGTAGTTAAGACTATGCCATATATGAAGTAGTGATTAAGTGCTTATTGGAAAATTTTGGATTTGTGTTCTTGAAATTGTTCTGAAATTAATGGCTTTTACATTTGACATTCCAGGTGCCATGATTGCTCATAAATTTAAAGTAACAAATCCTCAAGATTATGGTCTATTTCTTCTCCTGAATGGAACAGGTAACCAAAATAATTTAAAATAAGCATTTCTAATTACAGATTTATGCCTTCAGCTGAATTTGGTATCTCTTTCTATTGGCATTCGAAACCCTTTATTAATATATTATCAAGAACTTGATGGGTGTGATACAGATTTTTGATCATTTGATTTTGACTGAACTGGAACTGTGGCAAATTAGTAATTGATGATATTTGTAATATTTTTCAGAAAATGCTCTAGCTGACAATGTTTGTCCACAATTGATAAAATCTGAACACAGAACTAAGGGGGAAGACTGTTATTTTGCTTATAAAAGAATAGCAGCTAATATTGCCTGGCCAAAGAACTTAAAGAGACCTTCAATAGGTAAATATGATTTTTAGTTTGGATTAATATTCTGGAAAGTCGCAATTATATTTTATACATATCCTAAACAGAGAGTGAGAAACATGTATTTGATTATAAAAATGTGGATGCGGAATCAAATTACCTCACTATTCTTCCCCCATACTCTCTGATCAAGGGCTGCTATCTTGAGAGTAGGGAGGATAGGGTAGTAATTGGAATTGCTTTCAGCTGCAGTGACAGCAATGCTTAATGTGTGGACAGGATGAAGGAGATGCATCCCTATACACTGTGGTATGCCATATCTCCAAAATCTCTAGGTAGATTTGGGACCTAGCTTAAAAAGCACAGTTTTCAGCATTCATGTTTAATTGGGAAATATTGAATCATTAAATAACATTTTGCCTAGAAACTTTTAGTACCCCATATTGCAATATTATATTGTAGCACTTATATCATGATGGGTATTGTATCATGACATGATAAGCAAAACCTAGAGAAAGATGGTAATTGGCAAAAATTTAGGTATTTTTTCTTGTGTCTTTTTAGGTCAGATATTTGGAAGTCCAAGAGAAACCTAAAGTATTGAACTGTGATATGAATGTTTGTAATATGGAAAACTGAAAAACTAAATTTTCATGACATGTCTGATTTGTAAGTTTATATGTTGAAGGATGAATTTTACCATGACTAAGTAACATTAAAATGCTGGACATGATGACTGCTGACATATTGATACAAAAGATTAATTTATTTGACGAACTTCTTTACTGAAGTAAAAAGACAAAACTTTTTAACCTTGTTTATGTTGAAAGCTGGTGTGACTGATTTGTTATAACAAACATATGATTTGTTATGACAATAGACAGATTTGTTATTTTACATGACTGATTTGTTATACATTTATTTACTTATTTCTTTATTTTCTCATTATACAAACCTTATATTTTTTCTAACACAAAACTGTTTAACAAATGTAATGATTGGAGTTTTACATCCTACTTTAATTTCTGCCCCATGTGGGCTAATGAAGATGGGCAATGCCATGAGGGAAATTTGGCCAGGGAAACTGTCGAGGGATCATCTTATGTGCAGTCTGCAACACATGGGGCCTCAGTTTATTGTTTCATTTGACACTTTTGACACTTTTCCATGCCAGTCCCTCTTAGCCACATCACTGGGAGAAACTGGATTGAAAAAACTGAAGGTATTGAAAAAGCTAATTTACAAGACTGATTTGTTATTGTAAAACTTGACATTAATCGGCTATTGGCTGGAAGACAGATGCTATGTAATTGATATGGAATTGTAACAATTGTTTCTTTATGCTTAGTATTATCAACTGTTTATCTGTTCATACCTGACTTTAAGAATTGTTTGTATATAAGTCTATTTATAGATATTCATAACATGAATCCAGCAATGCTTTTTTTTATTAATTAATCATAATTTTATACAAAACAAAATGAATACTATTTGTATATAAATAATTTGTTAATCAGTATTGCTTACTATTACTAAAGTTATATGTTATTATTGTTGAAGTTGTGTCAGTTTGTTGATAAATATTAAGTATCCAGTTGACTTAATTAGGCTTCACTACTGTCTGACCACTGTTTCTGAACGACTTTGGCGAATGATTACATAATGTGTAGGTTTCGAGATTTTTTCTGTGTATCAAGGCCAGATATGAATTCTGTTGCACGATTCACAGATATCTGACTGAAAATTGAAATGGTGCATTACTATCAGTGTCCCCACTACACTTAAAAAGTTTAGCAAACCTCTTTACAATCAATGGGAATATTTGCTTATAATTTGTTGAGACATTGAATAAGCATGGATTTGAAAATATTTTCAATAATGGTGAAAATAACCCAGAAACCACAGTGGTCAGGGAGTATGACCAAGTATACTAATGTTTGTTATATTATAAAGTAATGATATTATTGCAGATTGACACCTTTCTCTTTTGTTATTAATTGTTATATCATTTAGCTTTGTAAAGCTTACATGGACCTTTCTAGATGTTAAAGGCAATATTACGTTATTGAAATATATATCTCAGTTGTTTTTTGTTGTCTTGTTTTTATCATTAAATTGTCTCCCATTAGTTTGTCAATTTTTATCTTAACTCTGAGCTAAAACCTCTGTTTGAGAAAGATCATAAGACTGGCGGTGACTCCATAAAGATGGCACAATATATCTTCTCAGCTTTACCTGGTCAAGAAGTTTCTTAACAGTTTTAGCTTACTATGTGGTTCTCCTTATATTTAAGAAAAATCATTGATCACAAAAACTTGTTCATTTTCATGATAAATACAGCACTTTTCACCAAAGGTCCAAAGCTTAGATGGAGATTAAAGAAAGTGAGCAATCTCATTAGTTATTCAAACTAAAGTTAATATTGATTTTTTGTGATTGTTCAATTATATGATTTGAATACTTTAAGCATTATCAGTTAAACTGCCCCCCCTTGAAGACCTTTGCTTAGTTTTTGCTTATAAATGTTTTGAAATCAGCAGTATAATCTTGTATATACAAAGTAATCCAATACTCACAAAAACATTACTTTTGTTTTAATACAGAAAAGAATATCTTAGATGTAAAAACAACAACTTTAAATTAAATAAATAAATTATCCATATTGTTGTAAATAGAACGATTACATATCTACAAACAATAACAAAATATTTACACTGTTATAATAATGCGCAGCGTCTTAATATTTACATTTCAACATTCAAATATTCTGTCTTATAAACGACTCTGTTCACTACAGCTTGCACGAATCTCTAAACATCTTAAAATAACATTAGATCACATTCAATGTCTTTTGATTTCAAATTTGTTGAAATCTGCTTTTTGTAAATATCGTTCATTATGAAACACACTTTTCTCTATCACACTATTTGGACTTCCTTTAGTTGATAACCATTCTCTCCTGAAAGAAAAATAAGCCTTCTTAAATATGTGAAGACTAATTGCAGTATGTCTATGCAGTTTACTAAAGAGAGATACCAGGCACGATCTTTTGATACATGAAATACTAAAAATGTGGATTTTTTAAGAAGCTAAAAGACGATAATTTATATTTAATACTCTTTATTATTGAAAACATGTAATGGTACCGGTAGTATATATTCTACTCACATTTGAATTACTTTTTCTTCTGGACCTTGAACAACACCAACAACTGTTTTATGTCCTGTATTTCTTACCCAACCAACTAAATTCAAATTTTCTGCTGCTTTCTTAGTATGCTTGAATATAAATAAAATTTATTCCTAATCCTTTTTTTTGCAAAAGATTTTTTGTTTCATATTCAATCCAGTACGGTAATAAATTAATTTCATCATTATTCAATTGCAGTAATTTTTCAATCATAAGTCATGCTAAAGTTCTTGCAGTGTTAACATTGAATCTAAGGCTGTGCATAAAATCAATCTTTAACAACTGTTATATTTGGAGAGAGAAAAAAAAACAGCAGGTAATATGAAACCAGCTTCACTTACCTTTCTAAAAAATACACCTGAAAAAATGAAAAGTGACAGGTCAATAAAGTATATATATTAACTCATTCAGATACCAGTATTAAAATGTCTTAGAATGAAAGTCTTTTCCCATGCAGAATCAGAATCAAAATTTTTTCATACTCACTACTGTGATCTATGAATTGCAGTAGTGTCAGAGACTAGAGCTATATTTCACAATTGGCTGGTCCGGATAGGACCTAATTGAATTAAGTATGGCAAAATGCCATTCAGCAACCCAAATGGCCGCCCAGAAATTATCTGTATGGACCTGCAAAACGAAAGTAGAACTGTCAAAAATTGAAATCTTTCATATTCATATTTGCAATTGTTTGTGCTCAGGTTTCATTGAAGGTTTAAAAGTGGGCATCTAACTTTTGGCAAACAGTAAATTCACTTGTAATTTCCATAACTTGAATAGACATACCTTGAACTTTACCAAAAATCTCAAAATCAAAAGAGAGGAACTTTTTAGCTCTTGCAGCCATGCTAGTTTGTTTACAAATTGACAGCGTAGGTAACCACTAAAGATTCTGATTGGTGGATAAAAATAGACTCGCCAATCATAATTCCGTTTAGAATTTAATCGTATAGGAAGATAACTCGATTTCTTTTTTTTAACCCAACCTACAAATAACTAATTCAAACAACTTCGTCTCCAATGTCGACTATTGAATAGTTTGACCCAGTCTCATGGTCCCAAAAACTTAATGTGACATCTGGGCTATTTCTACCTGCTGGTTAACTAAAATCATAATCATATATATTGAATTGGCCCCAGAAAACTGCCATTGTGAAAATCAATGTTATCTACTTTGGGGCACAGTAGGCATCTTTTTTGATACACCTATTCATGAGGGAATGACAAATTTTCATGATTTCCATATTTTATTTGTATTTCCATTACAATAACATGATAATGATAATAAGTGAGTATGAAAGGCAAGGCAATACTGGATGGATGAATTACATTTATAACAGTTTTTTAAACCTAAAGCTAGTTTTATAACAATTTGTTATTATGATGAAGGCTGTGGTGCACACAATATGAATCCTTAATATTTGTAAAAGAGAGAGCCCCACTAACACTTTTTTTCTTCAAATTTAGACTCGAACTTTCTTGAACCCGCCCTGGTCATACTACAATATTTCATTCTGACGTGTTCCATTCGATTTTTCGCAGGTCTTAACTGCACTAAAATATTTTATAATTCCAACAATTGTCAATAAAATATTTCATTGTAACACAACAAAGAAGGCACATCACAAAACTGGATGGATTGATATCTGGCACATCACAAAACTGGATGGATTGATATCTGGCACATCACAAAACTGGATGGATTGATATCTGAAGGCATGAGCATATATTGGATATATCTTAAAGGTATTATAAAGAGTTTTCTTATCTATCTTTTACCTTTTATTTTCATTTTCCTTTTTGCAATTGTAATACTTTAAAATACCGAAAATTGGAATTTGAATGGTGCATTCTAAATATATATACAAATGCTAGAAAAACCTTTTACAATCCTTACAAAATATATCAAGTAACAAAATTATAGATTGACAAAGCAATTTTCCCACAAAACAAACAGTGAAGGAATTACAAAGTAGTAAAAATGCATATCTCAGGTACATATGAAATTAGACAAAAGGATTTTCAATGTAGGATATGTTATAGATTTGATGCTGAATATAATATTATTAAAATTAGACAACCAAACTATTAAATGTAACTGATGCTCTATGCCCTATTTCATGAAGCAAAAATTAAAATTGGCCTTTAAATCAAAATGTAAATTTCAAATGAATTGAATGTGCAAAAAGATCCTAATGGATTTCAAAATGACATAAAAACTTGTTCTACAAACTCCTCAGACCCAGTATACACAATAAATAATACTATATACAATCTTATTATATGTAAAATTTGTATAAAAATTAATCTAAGTACAAAAATATCAACTGACTGTAAATCATTTCATTTCACATGTAAAGGTAGTTAGAAACTTGTTGACTTCTATCTGGTCTTTGATATTGTGTGATTGAGAAGATTATTGATTAATGAAGGGCAAAACACTACTTCTTACTCCGTTAACATATTTGGAATATATAGTTTTATGAACCATTTCACCATCTTCTAAGCAAATATGCTTAATTGAATTGAATCTTCATAAAGCAGGCTTCTTAGTAATCACATGCAACTGATCGAGCTCAGTCAACAATAATACCTGAGTCAGCAGGTTTCAAACTGATATCAGTCATAAATGCTTAAAAGTAATTATCATTATTAAAAATCACTTTATTACATTCTTCATTGAGAAGACATGAAAAGAAAATAATGCTTATGAAAACATTGCCACTGGCACATTATGTATTACAATTTTCTAAAGAGCAAATATATTTGCTCACATCTGAGTACGATTCAAAACTTAAAAGCAAGAAGTTTATTTTGAATGTGTTTATGTTTTGAATACGACTTGGATTTGAACAAATATATTTAATACACTATAACTAAATCATGTATTAACATCTTCCAAACACAAATTTCATTTTCAAAATCAATTTTGTGTATAAAAATCTATATGAGTCTAGTATTTTTAAGATATTGTATTAAGGTATTGTGTATAAATTGATATTGGCCTACAGTTTGTACCATATACATCCTCTGTTGACGAATACCCATTAATGCTTTTGGTAAATCAACACTCTGAATAAAATAATAAACATTCAATTTTAATAAACTTTTAGCTACCGCTGCCAAACAAAATCATAGCACTGTAGAATACAAACCAAATATAAGTAGCAATGATGTTTATCTTGCAGCTGATAAGATCCATGCAACATATCAGCTTTGCCTAAAGGTATCATTTATAACATTGTTGAACTCATTGATAGATACTGCTATCTTATACCAACTTTATATTTCTTATGAAAAACCATGTCAACATAAAATATGTGTAAGATGAAAGTAAAAAATATAACTTACATGATTATGCTCAAGACACCATTTCATGACAGCTGTCAATATTACTACACCTGTACGACCAACACCAGCACTACAATGTATAACTACTGGGGACTTTTTACCGCTTCCTTCTTCACTCTCTGCCAATCTACGCACTGATTCTATTTCATCTAGAAATCCTACAAAATAATCAAGCATAAATTGTTAGAAATATTCAAAAGAAAAGATTTACATACTGGAACAAAACAAAAATTTGTTTATCATAAAACTTCTTTCATGAATCTTATATGGCTTGTGGGGATAGACAACATCATACAGCAAGCAATGTGGCATAGTCAATAAATTCTACTTACCAAGAAAACCATAAATGTCATCAGGGCAGCCATGATCAGGCCAATCTGTGTATTGTAAATGCCATATTTGTCTTGATTTACCAGACGGGATATGTTTTACTCTGATTCTTCTGGTTACATAACATAGTGAATCATCAGTTAGAAGTAGTTCTATATCATACTAGAAATAAATATAGCTATTAGATTATCATAATTTCAACTATATACTATGCCAGTTGATAAACACATAAACAAAAACTACATGTCTCAACACATGTGACTGCGAAAAATCTAACTAAAGATAAGCTACATAGGGAGCAGTAGGTGCATAGAGAGCCAATTAAGTGAAACAGGTACATTAAAATTTCCAACTGCTTGGAGATCTTTAAGGGTGCACACTATCTAACACAAAGGGTTTTTGGCCCTACACTATATGTATAAAAAAACAGAATGGAATAACCTCCATTTAGACTCATATTGTGTTGACAAAAAACAAACCATATTAATGAAGTCAAAATAACTTACATCACCATGTATTTGTTTATGTTCTGGGCCAGGTTCATCAGGTTTATAAGGATAACATTTCTGCCGACCCTGTTCAGTCAATGCTGTCAACATAGCAACAACATCTACTTCCTGTTCCCATATCATCTGCCAGAAATCAGAGACTGTATTTTCTAATGGTGCCTGGGTGGCTATAAATGACCAATCCATGTTCTCAGCTGTCAACTGAAATAACATTGAATTATGGTTAAATAGATTAATATGAAATGTGGTTAAACATTTGGTCACCTCATTGGAATTTTAATCATTGGTTCAGTGGAAATAAGGGGAAAAGAAAAATTCAAATTGCATATAATCCAAATGTCAATTGATCACTTAATCATTTGAAAGATAATAATAATGATACTACTATAATAAAGTTAGACAGACATATCAGCTATTTCTGCCCTGATCGTAACATCTAGTCAATGATTTCAGCTACTTTGGTTCCAAATCTTTACATATGGAAAGTATGTAGTTTTTGATCAATTATAAATGAAAAAATCTTTTCTATAACAGCTTAGTGGCTAGTTGGAAACTTGAAGGGACCCTTCTTAGACAACCTCTAGAGCAAACCATAGGTTATTAATCATAACATTTATGGTCAAATTTTATGTGTTAAAAGAAAAATTCAAATTATAACAATACCTTGACATGTGAAGCATTTATATAGCCAGCTGGATTATCTTTTCTTGGTGTTAACTTGACTCTAGTATTATCGTAGGGTAACACATCTTTAAATCTATTTCTTGGATTGTTCTCTGGTAACTTAGCTACATTATAATCTAAGTTAGGTGCTCTTTTATAAATCTCTTCAAATTCTTTAAACACTTGACCTTCAGATATCTTACTTTCTAGTATCTTTCTCTGCAATAAATATTAGAATTATGCACATTCAATTTTCTAGTGCACAGAACGAATTTGGCAATGGCAATGTGCTCAAAAGAGTAAGTAGAAATCTGATAATATATGAATAATCCCATGGATAATCTCAATCTGGTTCTTTTTGATATTTCTGTTTCTATAATATATTCTAATAATGGATCTAATAAATTTTCATTTGATAAAAATGGATATTTCAAGAGCAAAAATCTAATGTTTGGTATAATTTTCAGTAAATAACTATATGTTGTACATCCTCCTCCAGAAGCTGCACAATTTGCTTTACCCCATTTAAAAATTCTATTAAAAAAGATTAAAATATACTCTAGGGTAATGAATGTTGAATAAAGAAATATCAAATGGGCTTACCCTCTCATCTTTAGGTGCTCTACTTTCATCATTCATTAGAGCTAGAACCATAGGTCTGGATAATGTCAACCCATTCATTGCAGCACGTTTTAATGGTCCAATACTTCTTCTTTTAATAGTACCATCCTAGACAACAATAATCAAAATACATCATCAGAACATTTAATAGAGAACAATAGTGTCTTGTTGTCCTGGACTATAGACTTGAATAACAATAGTACAACAATCAGTACAGTACACTGCTATATTAAGGTCATAAATAATCTATACCTATCTACCTTTATAGAATCAACATATAGAGTTCCATGTTACATGTCAATGACGTACATAATAATCAATTGATTACATAGTGAACATGATATCTATTAATGATTTCTTATGTGTGATTCTGATACGAGTTGGTAACCACAGAATAATATAATAATAATAATAATGGTAATGAAAATGGTAATAAAACAAAATATTTCCGGACATGCTTCAAAATTAAACAGGCAACATACAGTTGACAAAATGAAAACTTTTAACTAAGTTTCATTCAGTGTAGACAAAAATCCATCCACATAAACATGTCCAATAAGGAAAATATGGCTTTTAAAAGTGTGTTAAGCAAATAGTAGCTTAAGTCATTGGAATCTTCATAACATATCTATTTCAGGAGCAGTGTTTTAAATTTTTACCAACCAGAATCAGTTTTAATGAACTGTAATGATGTAACATGTTCATGCAGAGAACTTCAAAGTAATACTTACTGCAAAATCAGACAAGTCTGAATCAGAATCTTCTTGTGGTGATAAGGAACTTTCCATAGAGAGAGCATGAGTATGTATTATCTGACTAGTATCTAAACATTCCATATTATCACTATCTGACACATGACTGGCACTATCTGACACATGACTAACACTATCTGACACACGACTAGAAATATGTTTGTCAGACATATTGGATGGCTGAATAACATCAGGTATTGGTAAGGATGGTGGTCCATTAACAAATATAATCGGCTTGTGAGGCACTTTTCCAGTGAATGAATCTGTTGGTGAATCTTGTTCCTGTACCTTCGATAATTGGGCCTCATTTAAGTTCTCTTTAGTCAGTGGTTTCACGTGACTGTCTCCTGGTTTTGAGCTCATGATTGGACCAGCTCTTGCTATCATCATTCGACGAAAACTTTCACGTAATGTGGCCACTTCCTTAGTTTTGGAAGGAGGTGGAGCGTCTTTAGGTCCTAATAATCTAATTTGGATTTTCTTTCGTTCTGATTCTTCACGATGAAGTTTTTCTACTTCCTCATCTGAACTGTCATCTTTAACATGAAAAGTTGCATATGAGTGTTCACTCGATGTATCATCTTGATCTATGTTCGATGATAAATTTTCACTGTTCACACTAGTATCCATAGTGTTCAAGTTTTCCACACTTTTGTCCAGACGTGATTGTTGGACTAAGTTTCCGAAATGATCACCTTGTTGGGCGACTACATCTGGTATTTCACTGTTATGAGTAGCTACTGCTTGTACAGCTAAATCTGGTGTACTGCTGCTGGTAGTAGGGTACGGTGGTGGAGGGCGGTACTGAAATGCTAATGATTCCTGTAACATATCAGAAGGATATTGTTCTTGTAGACCTTGTGTATTGAGTTCTGGGGAGCTGTAAGTTGAATGGACAGGCAGATGATTGGCACCTGTTTTATTGTTTATATTATTATGGCCATCTTGAAATCCACTAGTGTAACCTGTATGGTTATAATTTCGTATGGCCTGAGCATTGGCATATTGGGATTCACTGTCATAATTATTCATAGGTTGATTGATCTCAGGTTCACTTTTATACGGCACACCTTCTTGATTGTAGACCTGTGTGGTGCCAATACCTTGTGAACTCTCTGTTGATGACACTTGTTGTTGTATACGACGCTGTGCCATTAATGTCTCATAATCTGGAGCATGTTTATATGCTGGTAATAAAGCTTTTCTTGCAGAATCTGATATTTCTGGTGGTTGTTGTTGTGGTACTGGTTGATGGTTTATATAAATACCATCATTTATAACAGATTCTGAACCAGAACTTGCTGTTTGTTGTACATCAGGTAAAACATCTAAACTCTGTTGTGAATTACTATAATAATCATCATGTGAAGGAACTTGTTGTACATCTAAAATATAAAATAATCATCTTATAACAAACATTTTAAAATTTTTTCACCCAAGAAAGTTGCTTGACACCTTTTCCGAACTCTTTTTGTTGTAAGCAAATCTTTCTTGATCAAATTCAATCAAGCTGAAAATGTGGAAAATAGGAAAAATAGGAAAAAGACTTTGTTAATTGCTGCTTTAATGTCAAATTTTCCTCATTGCACACTGTTTTGCATGGCGTCTTTAGTTCAAATTCAAGCAGAAAGGTAGGAAATAAAACTCCATTTGATTTAATTTCCAATTACATATTATTCAGCATAAAATAGACTAGAGTATATCATACATTATACATAATATAATACTTTTTATTCCCACTCTTATCATCTATATAATACTTACAACACAGGGATACAAAAAATATGCCAATAAAAATATAAGAATAGTATATAATTTATGTAATAAAAACATAGTAATCAATATAATATAACTTACCTGGTGTATATCTTTGATCTTGTATATAAGCTAATGATGTTTGTGACTCTGTCTGTATAACAAAAATCAATAGTTTACTTTATAGTCATATAATACTAATCATTAGTCCATTTCCACTCTAGTTATTTTATTATTCTGTAACAGGTTAATACTATACTGTAATATCGAGAAAACAGCATATGGGGCTATAGCCCATATCCTATCCAAATTCTTTTAATATCAAAAACAATGACACCTCAAGGTCAATTAGATTGCTATCTCATTACCAAATTTATCTTCTCATTACACATCTTATTACAGAAAATGTTGTCATTTCATTTCATGATATTAACTAATGAACTTTATCACTTAATCAAAACTAGGAACAAAACATAGTTTAACATATTTGAAAATTTCATATTTAAGACACTCACCAATTCAGAGTATTCATTTGTTGGGATAATAACTTGAGATTCTCTACAAAAATAAATATACTTAATGTATACATTATTATAATGACACTCATATATCAGATCACTGGCAATTTACTAAATTTTTATGATAATTAAAAATTAGTAATTGAGAAATGTTGAATGAGTAATATTTAATTAAATAACAGTGAATTGAAATGTGAAACAAATTGTAAACAATGTACTTTAATAAAAAATACTAAAAATCTTTAATATACATGTAACAATTATCAAATATCAAGCATACAGATTATTTAAATAAAGGATTTGAATTCAAAGAAAAAAATTGATGTCTCAAATATATCAATTACTGAATATTCAGTAAAGTCTTTTAAATTTCTGAAAGACAGTATTATCTAATGTTTGGTGTTAAATATCAGAAGAATTTAAAGGAACACATGCTAGGAGGAGAGTAAATAAACCTTTCATTGAACCAGTTTTTAAACCATTGTCAAATTAGACAGATCTATATCTAGCATAATACAAGATTGTGTAAAACCTACTTTTAGGCAGACCAATCAGGGACTTCATAACAATTCAAGACAAAGAATATTTCACTATATATAATATCTTGTGTTTAAGTCATAGTTAAAGTTTTGGTGTGGCTACCTCTTGTTTGACTACTTCATTGTATTACATTTCTAGTATAAACATTTTTTTTTGCATTTCATAATTCATGCTTTCTATCCTAGTTATGCTCTATTTCTGACAGCTTGCAGTCTTTCTATGTAACAAATGATTATTTGAAAGTTTAAATTAATCAATGCATTCTCATACGTGTGTACAAGTCGGAAAAAAAAATCTTGAGATTTGTCTTGAAAAATCTTGAGATTGGGATTTTTTGTAAATAATCCTTATGAATTAAATTGATCATAGGCCTATACATGACGCAGTAAAAATTAACAAATCTATAATTAGGGATAAATTCTAGAAAAAATGCCTGATATTTCAAATTTATGCCTTACTTTCGATGGTTAATGGAAAAAAATTTATAATCATTTCAACATTTTCTACAAATTTCCATTAAATATGAATGTGGACTTTTAAATGCTGCTTTATCATGTAACAGAAAAACGGCAAAGTATGTTATAAATTTTTCAACATTTATTGATAATTGATATCAATGATAGATGATATAGTGAAGAACAATCATAGGTTCTATAAAAATATATGTATACATTCATAAGGTTACATTATATAAATTTTCTCATATTCACAAAGAATATATTTCCATTATATAATTCAGATCGACGTCACAACTCAGAAATTTTGGCTTATTTCTTACTAGGATATGCAATATTTCATTTGTACACCATTTCCCACTTCCCACAAGCCAAGAGGTAACAAATAGTGCAAAAGCTAAAGATTATATTCAAATAAATCATATTATATGAGTTAGAAAAGTTGTAAGTATTGTGAACTAGTAAAATTGTTTTACAACATTTATAAGTTATGTTAATTGTTTACAACATTGATAAGTTATGTTAATTGTTTACAACATTGATAAGTTATGTTTATTGTCTTACGTTATATTATTGTTGTCAGTTTCATTAATATCAACACTAACATCAGTCATGCTGGAACTGTAAAAATAAAATCATGCAAAAACAAAACTTTTAGGGAAATGTCCATAGTTCTATAAACTTTGGCTTAGAAAGCTCATTATTGGCTACTCATAACACTTCTAAACAACAGGTTTGATTACAATCAAATGAAATTCAAACTAAAAAAAATCAATATCTATATTCAAGGTGGCACTTGACTGGTGAGATTAGCAATTTTGGGAAGTTTAATAAAACAAGTTGAAAAAAGACTCACGATGTGTTTCAAGTACCCAGAAAATAAAGTAGGTGTAGAGATAATTCAAAATGGCAGATAATAGAAAAGAGGAGAGGTAAATTTGGTATGTGACGTATCATGCAGTTTTATTGAAACCTAGAACAGGAACAGGCAGAACCTGTTTAGACCCCACCATTCAAGTGCCACCAAGTAAATTGGGTGCTTTTTCAAGCTTCTAATGGGACAGATTTGTTCTTTTAATTTTGAATGTGTAATGAGTAGACAAAAACAATAGAGTTTAGAGGACTATATCACTTTACAAGTGAAAAGTCCAAAAAAACAAAAATTGAGACTCTGATAGCATAAATCATTCTTAAAACAAAATTCTTCATACTTAAACTTTTAAAAAAAATTTTAAAGCCCCAATTCCTCAAAGAAATAAAAAATCTAATCCCAGAAAAAAATTCAATGGTTTTCTCATTGTATAAAATCAAAATTGTTAGGAATCATAAAAATCATGCTTCAAAAACATTTAAATTTCATGCAGAAAAACTAAAACAAATCAAATACTGTTCAAAAAGTAAAACACTTACTTGAGGTTAGCTTTAGAAGATTTATAAAATTTGATTTGATTATTGATTATTCTACATAAATACTTGGATGTATCTGTATCTTCCTGATAATATACAATATTCAATCAATCAATCAATCAATCAATCAATCAATCAATAAAATAATGTTTGATATCCTTCTCTACTGCTCAAGAAAGGCTGTTCTTGATTGGCAATGCTCTGCACTGTGCTATAAAGAATATTTTGCCAGGACAGAAGCCTTATATTAATCTTTTTAAATATTCAACTCGCAAGCTTTGAAATATACCCAGACTGAACGTGAGGAGACTCAGCAAATCTTCTTGAGAGATTTTAATTTCATTTGCTTCATGCAAATGAACTGTAATGAATAATGTATGTCCCCATAGTGATGCAACAATCAATTATTAATATAGAAATATAAATATATATAAACATCTTATACTTACTAAAGTATATTGAGCAGAACTTTTAGATGTATCAACTTCTATATTCTTCTTATTTTGAGATATTCTGGCTATTTCATTCCATCTGAAATGTATTTGGAAGCAAATGTATACATTTATTTGTTCAAGAACAAGAATTTGTTCTGTTTTTATGTGTTTAAAGCTACTATTTGCACAGTTTGGATTCCTGTGGTGAAATTACAGGTACACTTGACTAGATTATCCAGGAAAATTAATCAGGTTACAGGTAGGACATAACCAAGCATGTTGTACTATTCCTACATAAATTATACCGTCTTCATTAGCCAACAAGGTGCAGAAAATTTTTTCATTTTTTATATAAATTATGTTTATTTATTGATTCTTAGCCAACTAATGACAACTCTGGATTGTCAACCTTACATTTTTCTGATTCTTACAAAACAGTGCCGTCCCTTGCAAAAATTTAACATAATCTCTACATTTAGCAAGTCTAATAATTGAATTCCTACCTAAAAAATACTGGTGGTGTCCTATCTAGAAATCTAGCAAATAAACCAATATAAGATGTACCTAGATATAATTCTCTATTAGATTCATCCTAAAAGTACAACAAAAATATACCATAAGAAATAATCAGAAGAAAAATATATGGGAAATCTTTCAAAAATTTGAATGTACGCATGTTGTTTTATAAAAATGAAAATCGATACTTAGGACTAAGGTTAGTCCATGCATGTTTTCATTTTCTGAATTTGAAAATACCATGTTTTCTATTAATATACCAATCCTTGGTCATTGTAAGGGTAATTTCTACTCCCTAAAAAACCATACATGAGGATACTCTTAAGTAAATCTGGACATTTCACATACAACAAAATGATCTTACCTTGGCAACATAGTACTCAGTACCAAATCCATCCATTTGTTGTACTTCTTTAATATACTGTATTTCAGCTTTAATACCATGTACCCCATGTAATCTATAGTGTCCATTGATAACTTCTGTTAATAATTCTAGATAGGTATTCTCATCTTTAGTCATAGACTATAAACAGAAAATGTTAGGTCTTATTTTATATAATGAGAAGTATTCAAAACATAGAAAAGCAATATGGACAAAATTCATGTATAAGTCTTCCCATTTTTTTCTGTTTTTGTTCTCAGGTAACCCCTGTGGTTTTATTTAGGATCACCAATGTTGGGAACCATTGAGTGAATCATTGTTATTTTTTAATTTGTTTTTTTCAGTTCAACACTTAATCTGTGTGAGTTGGCCTAGGGAAATAAGTCTTGATCATTTTGGGTACTGCCTGAGCCTTGATAGATGAAGTTAACCATTCAGGTCTATCCTGAAACTGAATTTAAGGGCAAGGGACATTAAGACCTTAGTAAACAATAAAGAAAATCTTTACTCTATTGATAAATTCTACCAGAAAGATTACCTTTGGTAACAAAGGATGGTCCTTAAAATAACCAGGATTCTGTTTATCAAAATCACTGTCACCAAATTCAGCTGAAAATATCATCATCAACAAATATTAACAAATCTATCACAATTTTCCATTTGTTTAATAACCAAATGTATAAGAAAATTGGCTATATGGAGTGTGAGACATTAAAGACATCTCAAACAAAATAAACTAAAATCAAACTGAAAACAGCTCACTACAACAGACTATGTCATCTACCAACATAAAGGAGTTGCATAAACTATTTCAAATCACCATCTAGCTCATGACACCACCAAATTTAACTCAAAGAGAATCTACGGATAGAAGTTATTTTAGATAGCATTGGATATATACATACCTTGTAAACTTAAAGAAGCTAGTCTTATTGCTTGGTCTACAGAACATGGCAGTCTTCCATCTATTATATCATTTTTCAGTTGTAGGTAGTAATGAAATCTGAAAGCAGTCACAAGAACATTGTGAAAACAAGATGCAAATTAATATTTGCTTTACAGAGCTTCTAAATTGATATTTGCTTTACAGGGCTTCTAAATTGATATTTGCTTTACAGAGCTTCTAAATTGCTTGATATATGTATGGACAGAGATTCACACTTGATTTTTTATTAAAGAAAAATGCCCTGTTGTAAAAATATTTAAAAGTTGTTGGAAAATATCTAGAAAAGTTACCTTGCGACTTCATCAACTATTCTGTGTGCACTAGCAACATAAAACTGTACACCAAAATATAAACATGGCGGATGACAGGAGCTCTGAGCCTGTTTATCTAGTTGTTTCTTCAATGGACGATCTAAATCCACCCAGTGGAAATGGAGTTTCTTTGTCACATAACGTAATCCAAAGTAATGTGTCTGAAACAAGGTTAAAAGAGTAAGAAGATGTAAAATCAGACAGCAAGTAAAAAATGTAATACTTTACAAACATTACAACTGACATAGAGACAATTTTCTTTCTCAATTTCTCATTGACATGTCTTGTTTTATTCTTTCTTAGGTTTTTTGGGAGAAGGTTTTTAGTAAATGGATTAGTTTTCTAAATATCTAGGCCCTGACGTTTTACATATCTTCAGAATTGATAACAAGTAACTTCTTTTGGGGTGCCTTATCTGGTCTTGTTTTTTCATGGGATCTTGACAGTGTGTTATTAATTTTGGAACCTCAAAATATTAACAATATACAGAGCAAATTCTATGCTATAACAATAATAATGGGCAACCTTCTTCAAATGGACTAGTGTAATAAACAACTAGATGAAGATATCAAATAAAACAGGAATATTAAAATCATAATTCATAATAAAAATTGTTATCAAGGAAATTTCAATTATTCAATATCCTTTTAATTGGGTATGATAATCATAAAAATATACAATATGGTGAACTCAAACTAAACTGATATTGCCAATGTGTGAACTTCTTAATTTCCTGTTTGAGGACAAACAAATGAATGAACATGTGATTCATTCACACAGTACCCAACCAACCACTATTTCAGACAAAGTGAATGAATGAATGAAAATTGGATATAATTAAAAGAGTAGTGATATAACAATGTGTACTTAAAGCTATCTCTATCATTGTAATGTTATATAGTAAAATGTTTATTCAGTACCGGTAATTGATTTAAAATTAATATTTATCTGTACTAATTATTTTATTGTTCATATTTATATTCAAATAAGTAGAGCATTGTTTACATGTTATGTAAAGCCTAGAAACCATGTATATCTCAAAACTCAAATTATTTTGCAAAATTTGTGAATCTGCACAGAGCCAATAAAGGTTACAATGCAGAAATTATCTGATATTGTCATGAAAATAAGACAATGGCTAGGCTTTTTGCAACTGGCTTTTACCATAAAATCTTTTGTTTAGGGATACACATAACATGTAATTATGAACTACAGAATACAGTTGAACCATACATCAAATATTAATTGTGAAAAGTGTTATGGATAGTTGGAATTGAGCTCAAATATACATTTCAACCATTGTATACCGTTAAGGCTTTAAATACATCTGAATGGTAAGTCAGATATATTAAGAACAATAGATATATCTATAAGTAATAAAGAGTAGATAGTAGAGATCTACTATCATATTTTATTGAAGTTATATAGTTTTAAAGTCAATTTAACACCACAATAAAAGGCAATAAGAACAACTAGTCCAAACATAATCACTTAGAAACACCCAGAGTCAGCCTAAATATGTGTACATAAGATATGTGAAAAATGTTGACAGTAAAGATAAAATATAGCCATATCTATGTTATGTGATGTGGGATATTGGACACTTTTTAACCTTTAAGTCATGTACCAAATAAAATATCCCAAAAATAACCCAGTACAAAAACAAGTTACAATGTCCCTGCCTAGCTGTTACAATAACATTTTCTATAATTTCTATAAAAAGATAAGTCCTGTAGTGAAGTCTAGTACAAGACGTATAAGAAAAAGAAAGATATCAAGATGAAATGACTTTTCTTTTTAGAAGAAAATCTTGATGAAATGTTATCCGATATTGAGTGTGCAAGTTTTGTCAGTTCAAGGATTTTAAGAATAAGTTTTGTTTCAACTTTTCACAAGATTAGCTTAAGAGATGTTCACTTCACTAGCTGCCAGAGCTTAACTTCAGCTGTAGGCCTACATTCAGTCATACATACAGATATTACAATTAGTGCTTGGAAGTAACAAAAGTCTAAAACTCTGCAGTATGTTTTTGTCATGTTACAACAGTACCAGAAGTCAGATTTTAATTTTAGTTCTGTGTGTCAGAAATTGAGCACCATTATCAAGAAATCTAAATATTTCTTATACTAATTCCTAATTCAAATTTTGCTTTGTTGTGTTCTGCTTCTGCATCTGTCTTTTAGAACTGATCATATCAGAATATTAATGGAAGATAGTCAAAAAGTGAAAATTTCACAAGTACAATTTGACCGATAACATAACATGTGACTATTTAATGTCATGACTTGTCAATTGTTATCTTTATCAGTATAATGAAAGTAGAGATGATATCATTAAGTATTATTACAATCAATGATATCAAAATGTTCAATATTACCCTGCTCAATATTTAGATTTCCTCATAGGTCATGTTGAATAGATCAATAAGGAAATTATCTGTTATTAGAGTAAGCCATTGCTAAATACTTCTTGATACAATTTCCTTTTAACGCATTACTTTAAATAAAAAATTGTTGTAGAAATATATTAATTCCATTTCAATTGATAGGTAGATTTGATGTCATTAATAATGCAAATCACAATTTATAACATGAAAAGGTCATTAGTTTTCTGAGCAAGGCATCCAATACCAAGATAAGCTTATATATACTAATCTAAAAATACTAAACAGTCAAACAGACTATAAAGAGAATTAAGGATATGACTATAAATAAAACATATTAAAACAGTGATTGAGGAAGATAATTCACAATTCACATTTTAAATTGTCGAAATATCTTCTAAGGCAAGATAACATTAAACAATATAAGTAAACATGGAGCTTACCTCTGTGAGTTCAATTCTTTGACCAATACTATCCAAACACTCCTTACCAGTACTGTCTGCTGTTAAAGTACATTCCAAGAAAGAATTATCCAGTAGGTATACACCAACGATGAAAGCGTTCTTTGTCGAAATCTCATAGCGTTTTGTTTTCTTTAATCTCCATTTAAAGGGCATTGTTTCTTTTTCTCACATTGACAAAGAGAGAAATTGATTACACAATGGATTTCTGTTAAAACTTCACTTGGTTACTGTCCTTAATTTACACGAGTCTGAAAAATAAATAAATTATCATTAGTCATTTGATGATTAGGTGTGACTTTCTACAGGAGTGAAATATTTGAAGACAACCTCCAGACTTTATGTAAACATTCTCTTAATGCACAGGTCATATACCGTAATAAATATATATATATATATATAATCTCATAGGAGTTGGTTTTTATCAGATCAATAAAATAATGTCATTTGTTGAGCCTTAAGCAAGCAAGCTTCAATTTGATAAATATTATAAAATATAGTCCCCCAAAAAATGTAGTCATATTGAGAGTTTTATGAAAATACATTGTAATCATTAGGTCAAGAACAATTATTATGCAACATGTCACACAGTATAGAGTTGTTACATTAAATATGATAAATTAATTATGTGAAAAGTTTGTAAAATATAAACAAACACAAAATGTGGTTTAAATTCTATTTTAAAACTCATTTGAAATACTGTAATAGGATCAAACTGTCTTTTTTGCATGCAAAAGTGAGGTAATGCTCTAAATTTTTATTTTAACAGCTGATAGAGCTCAATTTCATCTATTCAAAACACTTTACATAATGTAAATCTAACTTCTCATTCCTTAAAATTTAACAAAAACACTTCAGTAAAGTCATTTATAGTTATGATCAAAATATCACTAATATCTGTATGAGGGAATGTTAATAATATCCAAACATCAAATTATAATTCTAAAAGTCATACAGATAGCTAAAATTCCATTCATACAATCAGTTTCCAAATAACTAATGAACAAAAAAAACCTGATATTAATATATGCTGATAAAAAATAATACTTTTCAACAAACTGGAATCTGAAGCTGAGTACTTTTCTTGAGAAACTCAACTTTTATTTTCAAAACTATAAGCTTAACAATATCAAATTTCAAAAATTTTAATCATTTGCTAAAATCTCACTCAACACAATCCTACAAAATTCTTACTGTTGACTTTAGTGACGCAGTATGGCTTAAAGGCAATGATCAAAGTTTTCTGATCAAGGTTAAATCTGTTATACCCCCTGTTTAACCATGCCTTTTTCTTTCACAGTTACACATGAAAACTACTCCAAGTCACCAATTTAAAATCTTATCAGGTAGACTACTGACTTAGAGTCAGAATGTAAAATTTACTACCACTATCAAAACTTATCATACATGAAGTAGAATGAATTAAAATCACTTCCTCTCTTCCAGTTATATTAAAATGGAGTTTTACATCCTACAGAGAAAACTCCTCTGTTTCTCCCTAGGGAAACAAACAATAAAAACCTTCTTTAGTTTGATTCCAGTCAAAATTTTGACCTCGTAGCAATAAAAGTTTGTCATTAAATAGTCATGATGGGTCTATACAAGAATCTTCATTAAGCAGTGACTAATAGTTGCAAATGAAAAGTATTGTTGCCTCATGGTATATATCAGTTGAATGGTTAGTAGACACTAAAAACCAGGAAACAAATACAGAGAACTAGACTTCCTGGACAAAGTAAACTGTGTATAAATATGTCCATGTAAACACAAGTTATTGATAGTAATAGAAAGTGAGCAATAAATAAAAGAAACAGCAGACACCTTAACAACTTAATTACATAATATTATTAAAATCAGGAATTATTTTTTATATTTTCAGAATTATAAAAACATAAATTACACCACCAATATTTTACACAATACTACAATGATGAAAGCACCTCATTTTTTATTACAAGAAAGAGATAGAAAAATTATTAATTTGATGTTGGGACATCTTGGATTCAGCACAGGATATTTTAGCACTTAAACTTGTGGGCTATTATATGAGCCAGTAGTACATATAGCTACATCAAAATATGTGTATTTCATTGTATATATCCTAAACTGCCTGTACTTTATACAAAATTTTATTATATTTCACTTCTAATCTTTATACTAACATTTCCTCTTTGACTCTTAAAATATTGTCACTTTCATTGTATTAAATAATCTTGAGTATTTATGATACAGTTAGATAGTAATTTCAGTAATAAAAGATTTGAAAACATGACTTTGAGCGCACACCATTTGATGCTATGAATTTTACATGGCTTATCATTTGAGAATTAAGACTTCAGTAACATAACAGACAGGCAACAGTGTGAAAACTATATACTAGGCTACTTAGATGGCACAAATCCCAAAGAACATTTACAAGTTCTAGTGAGTTTTAAAGGTACTCAGTAAAGCATTTAGTTACTCATCCAACCACTAACCTGACAAACTGAAAAAAATAGATTGATTTCAGGCTGATTTAACTTGTAAATTTGCTACACACAGATATTTTGTACCCCTAAACATCATTGTCTGCATTTTAAGTTCATAGGTACAACTGTAGATATCACATTATGCATTACCTCAACTCTACATGGAAAGTAGCCTGTATGTACCTTTTAATGCATCAGTCTGGTGACCTGAGTTTGACAGTCTCAGTCTGACTCTGGATTATGTGAGATAATTACTTACATACAACGATATCGAAAGAATGTCTTCAAATTGAACACAAAATCATACACCCAATTATGGCAGTTAATAATCAATTGATGGATGAATGTACAATCATTATCTAGTCATCCTTACCCTCGGTTATGTGTCATAATTTTCAATTTCCCAGGAGTGTCACAACAAGGTTTTGTTGTCATTTCTTCTTACGGTTCATTGAAGTCTCGATCGTGACATTTCGCAGAGCAAACCTTTTGTTGTTAATCGAGACTACGCACACCTGTTACCATAAACAGGTCGTGGGAGTTCTAAGAGTCTCGATTGTCATAGTAAGCTTTATATTGAAACTGCTGGTTAATCTAAAGTCTCAAATGCTCAGTATAAATTAAGAAAGTATTAGCTTTAAAACTTTGCCAAAGTATGGAAATATTAAACTCAATGAGGGAAAAATTTCCTCCCTTTAACAAAGTATTATTTCTTCAACCCAAACGGATTTTATTTACGACATCAACCGGATATACCTCTACTTTTGCTAGAGTTAAATCGAAAGTAGAAAATAAAATCGTTAAATCAACGATACCATCTTCAAAATCACGATATCATGAAACAAATAGCCTAATTTGTCAGTTTCCACAATGCCACAAACAGATATTCTTAAGTTAGATTTATACGGCCTCCTTGAAGTTGAGGCTGAAGCTACAAAGAAAGAGGTAAAAACAAAAGAAATACTCGTACTTTGAAGTGTACAAATATTGCAAGAGAAGTAGATTTGCTTTGTAGAAGGAACTTATATTTATAAGAACTTGAGGAGTGGCTTCAATTGAATTATTAAGCCATTGGCTCATGCTGGCCTATTAGTACCAGTAACACCAACCTGTTTTCTTGTTTTTAATATCAAGTGAAAATTGTGATGATCCCTTTCGTTTCCCCAATACACATAAAAAATTTAGGAAACCTCATTAGCCTGCAATCCCTGTAATGAAGAATGAAATTTAGCAAAATCTCAACAACCCATTAAAATTGCTATATAAAATGATCCACATAAACAATTTAGAAAACCTCTTTACATTCCTTTTAAGATAACATAATCCTTCCTCAGTCTGACAATGCAAATAGTTTTTTCGTATTTTGCATAAAAGTTGAATTAAATGTGTTTCTTAATCTCTTACAGATTTTAAGTGCTTATCGTAAGAAAGCTAGAAAATGTCATCCAGATAAAAACCCAGATAATCCAAAAGCAGGTACAAAGTACTTTTTTAATGATTTCATCAACGTTAACTAAAGCATTGAGTTATTGTTATCAATATGGATAAAATAGTGCACAATCTTGGAAATATTTCCTTATTGGATGGGACAAATACCATGAATCACACAAAATATTTGAAAGATGTTTATTTGGTGAAATCGATAAAAAGATGCTGTCATTAAAAAATTTTAAGCAACATTCACATAATGATTACAAATGGTACATTATAGTCATCATATTAATATAAAGAAGTAAAGTTTTTTATTATAGTGAACTTTCTTTTTTGCAGCTGAACTGTTCCTTGAGTTAGCTAAAGCATTAGAAGTTTTAACAGATGCTCCAGCAAGGGTAATGTTTTTACTTTATTCTAGATATAAGACAATTAATAACATATAATCTTTTATATCAAGGAAAATCTTGATTTTAGTTGAAAATAATGCAGACTTATTACAAAAAAAAAGCAATTATATTATTTTTTGAAGTATTAGTAACTGAATGACCATTTCAATGTGTTCTAGGCAGCTTATGATAAAGCACAACAAGCTAAAAAGGCAGCTGAAGTCCGACACAGACAACTTGATAGTAAAAGAAAGAAATTCAAAGAAGGTAAGATAATTATTTATTTATAGATCAAGTACTTAAATATCAAGAGTGTTTGGCTTTTGACCACTATTGTTAAAGTTATTGTTGATTCAGTTTAGATCCTCATGCTTTATGATTATATTTCCATTGAACTTTTTTTTATTATTTTATTTCAGATCTTGAAGCAAGGGAAGAAAATTTTGAACAACAGAAGAAAGATGAAGCAGCAGCTCAAAAAAATCTGCAAGCAGAGGTTTGTGAAAATATATTTAGAAAATCATGGGAAAATCTCTTTCTACAGAAGAAGAATCCATAGTCTCTGTATTGTAATGAAATGTATTTTTACATTCTCCTTTTTCGCTAAGATCTTGAAATTCTGTATTTGAGGTAAATACATTGAAAATTCATGTGACAAAATTTTGGATCATGTTGTCAACGTCATATTTGCAGAAAATTAAAATTTGCTGTAAAAATAATTTGATGTCTTGAAGATTTTTGTCTCAATGAATGCTTATTTATTATGTATACTTGATCAAATATTTGTGACAAAGATTAAAATTGTACTTTTTGTTGCTGCAGATTGAAAGATTACGTAAGGAAGGGTGTAAATTATTAGAAGAAGAACAAGAATTATTAAAAGAAAGCATAAAACAAGAAAAAGAAAAGAAAAAAGAAGAATCAGATGGTAAGATTACACTGGCAATTGTCTTTAGTTTATACAAATGCTTATAAGAAATAAACAATATTAGCCATGTGCACTCTCTAAAAGGGCTGTCATGTCCTTATTTTTGTCATCCTTGCATATTAATAATGGTTTAGTTGACAAACCCAGTCTCAGAGTGGCATTAAGTGTGTCGCAAGAGTGATTTATTTATTTATAAATTTGTTTTTAAGATGAAGATGATATTCCAGTTTCACCAAAAATCAAGGTAAGAATCTTGAAATGAAATTTTCTTCTTCAGAACTATTATAAATAAATAAATGAATAAACTCTGTAGTCTGTATAAAATCATCAGAAATATTCAAGCTGATCCCACAATCAAACCTTTAGGGATATACTCATTCTTATTTTGCTCAGCTCAGAAATCAATTGAATTACAGCACTTCTTAAAGTGCAGGCACGCACGATTGTCAGAGATTTTTGTCACCGACTAGTTTTGTTAGTCGCTTGTTTTGGACTATGTCGATAATCACGTGCAGATCATACAATGGAAAGAAAAATGAATCTGATAAGATCATAACGGTCTGTCTCGCAGAGGCTGAAATTATTGGAGACAATTATCAAACTTGTTTGATAATATAAATACTGTTGAGGACGTGATAATCTTGTCATGTCATAGACTGCTGGTGTGCCCGGTGACTAGTTATAATGTGCATGTATGCTCTATTTGTTTAGATATTATGATTTTCCGTATTATTTAGGTGAAGTGGAAGAGTAAGAAAGATGATCAATCTAATGGTGGATATAATGAAAATAATTTAGAAGACTTCTTTAGTAAAGTAAGGAGATTATCATTATCAACTTCTTTCAAATATGAAGTAACTTAAAAGGATACTATCTCTTAGAATGGACAGTCTCAAACTTGGTAGACAAGTGTATATATTCATCAGTTTGGCTTAACAAGTGTCATGACTAAAAAATAGAATCTCTACAATATCTATTAAACTAAATGATTATTGAAACCAGTTTTTAAGCATGTTACTTAGTTTGATGAATTATTACATAGTTTTATGAATTTTAATTTATTTTTTGTATTTTTCGCTATTGTTTTAAGTATTCATAATTTACTTATATAGGCTCATTGTACTGATTACTCCCAAAAAGTACTATACTAATTACTATTTTATTTCAGTATGGTGATGTATCAGTAGTTTTAGTATCTAAAAAGAAGACAGGATCTGCTATAATAGAATTTTCTCAAGCCTCACAAAAGGTAAGAATATAACTTGCTTTCTAACTTTGTAAATTGAATTGGATTCCAAGCTTCAAAATAGTTATGACAATTGCTTCAGTTAGAATGTTATTTGATTATTGTAATGTTATTTTTAGTTATTAGATGTTGAAAATGAAACTGGTTCACCGCAGAATCAACTGACAGTAAATTGGTTATCTGGTAAACCTAAATTTAAACAACCTAAACCTAGCTCAATACCACAAACCTATTCTTCTTATTCACATGTAAGTTTTCTTTTTGTTTTTTAGTCCTCTAATTTACCTACTAATATTTGATATTAGATACACCAACTAATATGATACACATAATAAACCTAATTCAAGACCAAGCCTTAGGGTAGTGTACAAAAGTTTCAGGATTGACACATATTTCTATGTCTCAGAGCTACATCAGTGTATGCAGTGTATTTATTCTTAGTTACTGAACACCACTAGTGTCAAATATGAATCCTTTAGATTAAATTATCTGGAACATGGTCAGGATCACTTTTTGGACTGATGAAGATACAGAAGCAACCTTCAGTAAGCAGCCAATTTTAGCATTCCCTTGCGTGGGTGCTAAATTAAAGTTTGACTGTACCAAAATTTATGTGCAAGTAAACCACTATTTTCTTTAATTGCACTGATTATTTTTTGTAGGCATCTGAATTTGCTAAACCAGAAGGAACATCAGATTTAGATTTTGAATCACTAGTCTTAATGAAAATGAGACAAGCTGAAGAAAGAAAGAGATTAATAGAACAAATGAAACAAGAAGATGAAGAAGAAGAAAAAAGCTGATAATAGTATTTAATAAACCATTGTAAATGTTGTAAATAAATTTTTAATATTTTCTAGTATGTAGTATTTACAGCAAGATTACAAGGTACAAAATGTTATGACAATTACTTCACACATGCATAGGAAGGCATTTCCCTAATTATCTATACCCAATTACAGTTGAGTTGACGGGAATAATGGTCAATTTTGCCGCATGACCACTATATGTTTGATGTAACTAATCAAAAGACATCATTTAAAGACCAACACTAACCCACTGCACAACATCCTATCTTACAGTACTCAGAAATTCTTCATTCAACTAGTCTGAGATAATTATATAATAATATCATACTTGTTTCACCAAATCTTGAGTACCTGTTTAACTAAGTCTGAGGCCTTGAACCACTCACTATGAGATACCTTATTGTCTAAGATAACTGTTTTCCTTGCTCTGAGATAATGATTTCATTTGGAGATATCTACTTGTATACCAAGCTAAGATATTCTTGTATCATTCAGTCTAAAATTCACCTGGTTTAAGACACTTATTTATCCCAGTCTAATATTATTGCAACAATATCCAAATGTCTTAGTTCAATCTTATTTTATCCATCTCAACAAACATACTTAAGTATGTTAAAACAGTATGAGATTTTAGTTCACTATCAGTCTTTGATTATATTTTCATCCACTTATTCCTGTCTACTATATTCATCAAGTCTTTTCTCTGCTACTCCTTCTAATTTTCTCTTGATATTAGCATTTACATTGTGCAGTTCACTTTGTTTCCTTACTGCAGTCTGAAAAAAAGAATGGAAATATGGAATGATCAAACTATTAATGTGCTAGATTTTCCTGTTCAATATTTGGTCAAACAGATCATAACATGGGTTATATAAATGGAGAATATGGGCAAGATGTCAATTAATCATTATACTGTTGCAGATACAGAGTATAACCATGTCTATACCAGAATCTATAAAAGTTTAAATGATTAAGAAAGCTACTCAAAAAACCATCCTACCTCAATTTTCCATAATAAATCCACATCCCATTTATGGGTGACAAAACTTGTGATAAAACCAGGTTGGTATGACCCAACTCTACCAACACGACCTGCTCTATGTATGTAATCAGACATAAAACATGGGAAATCAAAATTGATCACATGTTCTACCTGTAAAATTAATTATCATATTATATTAGTTAAATAGTGATCAAGGATATCCATGACAAACACCCTAGATAGCCCTACAGTACTTCCAGCTGATGCTAATATCACACAAATAATCCTTCAAGTGATCAGGCTTAAATAGATACACAACCTAGGATCACTATGCACTTTATCCATAAAGTTTCCCTGACTGCAAAGTGTCCATTACATATCAAATACTTATAATAATGGTCTTTGGATAACTGCATTTGACAGTTAAGATTATCCATAAAATAATTCATATTTACCCTCGAAGTGTCTAATCCTCTTGATGCTATATCAGTACACACCAATATATCTTCTTTACCTTGCTGAAATAGTTCAAACTGTCCATATCTCTCCTGTAAAATAAACAACATTCATTTAGATCATCCTGTTTTGCTGATGATTATTGTAGATAATATGCAGTCTATGACAATGAGCTGTGTATTCAAATGAAAGGTTATGTTATCTTAAAGGCCTAGATCCCTTTATTAGAAAACAACAGCATACCTACCCTGTCTGAAACACCACCAGATAATAACAAACTATTTATATTCTGTTTTATACTCACCCTGTCTGAAACCTCACCAGATAATAACAAACTGTTTATATTCTGTTTTATACTCACCCTGTCTGAAACACCACCAGATAATAACAAACTATTTATATTCTGTTCTATACTCACCCTGTCTGAAACACCACCAGATAATAACAAACTATTTATATTCTGTTCTATACTCACCCTGTCTGAAACACCACCAGATAATAACAAACTATTTATATTTTGTTCTATACTCACCCTGTCTGAAACACCACCAGATAATAACAAACTATTTATATTCTGTTCTATACTCACCCTGTCTGAAACACCACCAGACAATAACAAACTATTTATATTCTGTTCTATACTCACCCTGTCTGAAACACCACTAGATAATAACAAACTGTTTATATTCTATTTTATACTCACCCTGTCTGAAACACCACCAGACAATAACAAACTATTTATATTCTGTTTTATACTCACTCTGTCTGAAACACCACCAGATAATAACAAACTATTTATATTCTGTTCTATACTCACCCTGTCTGAAACACCACCAGATAATAACAAACTATTTATATTCTGTTTTATACTCACCCTGTCTGAAACCTCACCAGATAATAACAAACTATTTATATTCTGTTTTATACTCATCCTGTCTGAAACACCACCAGATAATAACAAACTATTTATATTCTGTTCTATACTCACCCTGTCTGAAACACCACCAGATAATAACAAACTATTTATATTCTGTTTTATACTCACCCTGTCTGAAACACCACCAGACAATAACAAACTATTTATATTCTGTTCTATACTCACCCTGTCTGAAACACCACCAGACAATAACAAACTATATTCTGTTCTATACTCACCCTGTCTGAAACACCACTAGATAATAACAAACTATTTATATTCTGTTCTATACTCACCCTGTCTGAAACACCACCAGATAATAACAAACTATTTATATTCTGTTCTATACTCATCCTGTCTGAAACACCACCAGATAATAACAAACTATTTATATTCTGTTCTATACTCACCCTATCTGAAACACCACCAGATAATAACAAACTATTTATATTCTGTTCTATACTCACCCTGTCTGAAACACCACCAGACAATAACAAACTATTTATATTCTGTTCTATACTCACCCTGTCTGAAACACCACCAGATAATAACAAACTATTTATATTCTGTTCTATACTCACCCTGTCTGAAACACCACCAGACAATAACAAACAATTCATATTTTGCTCTTTGAATGTTTTCTGTAACCAATATGCTGTTTCTCCTTTATTACAAAATACCATTGAAGGCTTTTTCTTCTTCTTTAATAATAAAATAAGCTCTTCTAAAAATAATAATTAAAAATTAACCTAATACTGTATACAATGTTAGATTTTTAGAGGTCAGAAACTGTTAAATACTGCCATATCTTTACAGTGAATATTTGTCGGGATTTCAATTGGTAGGTTCACAAGAGGTTCTGGTACAAAGACATTAATAACAACAAATGCATTTTTTGTCTATGATATATTGTTTAAAACAATGATTGTACTTGTTGGTGGCAAAAGATTTGTTTAAATATGATTGATATATCACACTTTTCAGCCAACCCTCCTCTCCCTCATTTACACATCATATGGTACATGTTATTTGCTAGTGATATCAAACCTTTCCAGTAATATTAAAAATATAATTTTGGACGAAAATAATCCTACCTAACTTATCAGAAGACTTGACTCTAATAAATTTCTGTTGAACATGAGGCATGATTTTATGTAAATGAGGAGTCGTTACTTTGGTCATATCATCAACCTTCAATTAAATAGAGAAAACTTGAAATATTAACAATATTGAAATTTTGCATTTTGTTTTACTTTTATAACCAGCCTTTTTTTACAGATGTTTCACTTGTTACATTTACTAAAGGTTAATGGACAAATTTGCTATTACTTCAAAAGAATTACCATTCCTTTTTAATATTTTAACAATTTCAAGAATGAAGTGAGATAGTTTATCTCTGTCCTCTGTCAGCTGCTATAACACTCAACCATCATTCAAACTAACCAGGAAAAAAATGGAACAAGATAGAAATACATTATAAAAAGAGTGACCTGATACTGAAGCTAGCTGAGTAGGCAAAAATTGTAAGGGGCATAAGACATCTGCCTAAAAAAAGTGCATCTTTGATGTTATGGAGCCTGAAAATACCAGTCTTTTTTCCCCAACTCCTATCAACCTCTGCTCTAAAACACATTGATTGGGGAGCCCGTCCATCTTAGATCTATGACAACTGCTGATAAATAAAATAACGTAACTTACAGGTAAATATTTTTGAATTGTTGACTGTAAATTTCTAGGTAATGTGGCACTAACTACTATAAACTGAGCACCACTTTGTAAATAACCAACATTGTTATCTTCAACAACTTCTCCATGTGACACCTGTCAATCATATAAAATACCTCGGTATAGTTTATGTAATAAATGATTATCTGGATACTGCTCTGGACAATAGTCTTAGAATTTCAAAATATATAAGTATAGCTTATCTATATATAGCATGATTTGCGTCAAGACATCTTATTGACATGTTTTGGATACACAATCATCATAGGCCAGATCACTTTGAAAGTGGAGACCAACTTACAAACACAGTCAGTAAGCCTACCTGTAATTTATTCAATATTTTAATTATAAGATGACTAAAACTATCATCTAGTAATGTGTCTGCCTCATCTAGAACTATATGTTGTAAATAAGTATAGTGTATTTCTTGATGATAAAGTTTTCTAGCTATCATACCAGGTGTACCAACTAATATATCTATATATTCTTCATCAAAAATCTTTTTTCTTCTTGTTTTGGACTGAAAATTGACATATAAAGTTAGTATTAAAGCATGTTCAATTATATATAACAGAATTTCACAACATTAAATGTGCAACAGAGATTGGAAGGAAATTTTGATTTGAAATTGGAAATCAAGTATAAGCTATGTGTTCATGTGTACCTTTTCTCTTATGTTCCTGATGTAGTGTTTCTCTTGAGTCCCTAGCTAGACCTTCTTTGCTATTATCCAATTTAAAAAAAAAAATATCAAAAATGCATGCAGTTTATCATTTAACTTGCAGTTACAAAACATATCAATAAAAATGGCTAAGGTTGTTTATCTATCTATCAATCTAATAGCAATGTATCTTGGAATAAACAAAATAAATCTTACCTGAGAGGCTTCAACACAATGTTTTAACCCTGTATAATCTTTTAAACTATCTAATACATTCTGTAAATAATAAAAATATTAAACAGGTAATCTTAGTAACCAATGCTGTGTCAATTCAAGTAAAAAAAATAATAATTTGAACCAGCTTGTCTTGTCAATTTTTTGCTGTACCTGAAGAAAGACTATAATTTGGTTGGCACATGCTTATATATTTAAACAGCATAATCTCTAAGATATTATGTCATGAAGTTTCCATTAAGATACAGTGATTATACATACCCCAACCTGATCTGCCAATTCAAGTGATGGTAATATTACAATAGCTATTGGTGAATTAAATACTTTCTTTCGATCAAATTTCTCTGTAAATTGCTTTATTTTTTCTAGTAATGGAACAAGATAAGCTAGTGTTTTACCGCTTCCTGTAAAATAAATAGTTTTCAGTTGATCAAACATAACACCTCTACTGCAAAGCCTCTTTCTAGCATTTTGCGAAAGGTTCAATTCAATTTTAGACTTCAATTCATTTGTGTGTTCTTATTCCCAGCAATTCATTTGTCAAAGTTCCAACTTATTCACTTTTCATTTCATTAACTTTGTGACAGAATTGAATTTATTTTATCATAATTCAATTTATTTATTGACAGAATTCAATTTCATGCGTTAGAAGTCAATTTCACTATACTTAATTTCATTTGTTAGAATTCAACTCATAGGGTACAAATTCTTACCAGTTTCAGCTGATATCATAACTTGATCACCCTTTAATATCTTTCTAATTGATTCAAACTGCAAATATAATTCATTAATAAAAACTTAAAGAATGAAACTCTATGCCTCTCCTGATAAGAATTTTCAAATGAATTCAAATTCTCAATGCATGATAGGTATAAGTCTAATATTTGAAGGACAGGTTAAAGAAAGATGATCTTTTAATATGATAAACATATAACTAACTACCCTTGTTAAACATATTGTGCACTTTGGTATATTATTACCTCTCTGTTAAAACTATCACAGTAGAATCAATATAGTGGATTGAATTGTATTGAAACTAATGACTGACTCTTAAAATACAAATTACATGGTATAAGATGAATCAACATGCTATCATATCTGTACCAACCTATTCTGTTCTTAATTGAAAATCGCTGTCAAAAATATGCAAGATCACTCTTATAATATAGAGCCATTACCTGCACATAAGTCATAGTATCAAATCCTTTTTCACTGAGACCTTCAATTAGGCGTTTGTTTAATGGCAATGCAGAAAATTTACCCTTTTCACCAAGTTTTACATCATCCATCAGAGCAGGATTCTAGAAAAGAAGTAAAAGAGAAACATATTAGCTTCAAACAATTTGTATGTCTTTATATGTTTGGTATTTTAGGCTAAGCACCTCTTTAAGAAAACATTAATGTGTTTGAAGGTTAATTGCTAATAACTCATTCATGTAGTTGCTGAGCTTGCCGATCACAAATTGCTTGAAGACATCATTTAATCCTTTGGACAAAGCAATACTCAAATACTTATTTTGTTTTGAAATTTGTCTATGTATCTGATAACAAGATCATAGTTATTTTACAATGCACAAATCAGTCCAATAATGGAGAGTTAAGTACTGTATGTACACATTGACAACATTCTGCTAATTCGTTAACTAGGCAACACCTGGGAAACAAAATGTGGTCCAGTATACACAGGCATCAAACTTTTTAAGAAACAATGCTTTGAATCTTTTAATGATAAAAAAATTTAAAAATTGTAAAAGTTAAAGAAAAATAAGACATTAACTATTGATAGATACTTCTAGAATATTTATTACTTTCAACTTTTCAATATGTTTCTCACAACATCATCAGTAACATAATTATTATATTATCATTATCTCCTGATTGGGTGTGAAAATAAACTTGAAACACTGAGAGTAGTAAATATAATAAATGCATTTTTTTGTTTTTGTAATGTTTTGATAGTAAACTATTTAGCTCACCTTATTATATGGAATAATTGAAAAATAGTCTCCAGATGATTTATAATGTTTCCAACCATGTGATGCCAAATTTTCTCTGTCTGTTTCTTTAAACTTGTCACCTCTATGACAATTAAACTCAGGACGTTTACAAGCTATTAAAATTTTACCCGATTTACGTTTCTCCATCTCTGACTGTTTCTGGACATAACCTTTCTTCATTTTTAACTTCTGCAAGTTTTTAACCACTCTTTGAGGCACTGTTATAATTGGTAATGATTCATTGGAAATCTAGAAATAGCAGAAAATAAATGAACATAAAATTTGAATAAGTGAAAAAGTAAAAACAAAAATCTCAGTTAACTGTTTAAAAAGCTGTGGTTCCAAATGCATATCCCTCCCCATGTATGAAATATCTACTTATGAAATCACAGTGATGTCTTATAAAAATTCTTGTCATGTCAGTCTCTAGCAATTTATAAATCTCAGAGAACATGGTAAACTCAAATCGTTGTTAAGATCAAATTGTGTTCGAGAGATGCCTTTTGCGATATCATGACCTTGTGGGATGAAATTCAATTTGGAGATAATTTCAAGATTGAAAAAACAATTCCCTTGGGGTTCTTATAATATTTAAAACCTTCACCCCAAGGGTTTTTCTGAGGGAAAGAGTTTTATATATTGTAAAAATCCAAGAGAAAGTGTTTTATCTTACTTATAAACTGTTTTTTCAATCTTGAAATTATCTTCAAACTGAATTTTGTAATTCAAACTACCTGGGGATGTGAATAATCTCCTGAAAGAGGGCTTATTTTTATGCTGAAATAGCACGCTTATAAAAACACAGGCTGCATAACATGTTCATCTAGATTGTTCCTGTTGGTCCTTGTTGATAAATGACCAGTTTAAAGATTTTTGCAAAACTAATGAAATTCAAAATGCAAGTTGGATTTAAAGCAATAATGTTGTACTGAATTGGTGATAAATTGTCAGAATAAAGTAATCTACTAGTATTATAAAGAGTTTTATTCATTGACTAGATATTTGGTGAATTAGGACTCAGTTATTCAGAACACTTGAGTGATTTCACTTATATACCATAGGTCACTTTGCTAGAACATACTACTTCAGGTGTGTCACTTTAAACCCTGCGACATATATTATATTATACAGCCTATATAGTCTTAGTGGAATGTTCAACCAGGTAGAACAGCAGAACACAATCAATAATATCAACAAATATGGCCGACAACCATAGAAATTACTGACAGTATCATTTTGTCATTGACTCAGGTGATGTTGATATTTTCAACAGGTAAGATATAGTTAATGTGACAGAGATAAACATATGGTCTCAAACATTGTTCATGGTTGAATCATCCATTATGTGAATAAAACTCGGTGAAACAGGTAATTTTTAGCTATATCAAGTAGGCTACATGGACGTGTATATTTTTTTAAATGAGATACATCCATTAGAGTTTCATAGAAAAGTCATGAGAATTATCATTCAAAAATAACAAGGTAAACAAAGGTGAAATTTGGTAATTTTTAGTGAATCAGATTTTTAATAAAATAAGAAGATATGGAAATTGAAATTGCTGTTGTTATATATAAAGGACTTTTTAATATTTTCTAGAAATAATGTTGTCTTTTATTATTTTTTTAACAAGGACAAAATTGAATGAACCCTGGCAAGATATTCATTTGTTTACCAATAAAGGTCATAAATACAACCAATCATGACAAAAAATAATAAATTTCAGTTTATTTTCACAAATTAGGAGATTTAAGTAATACCTACTTGTTTTTAATATTGTAGTCTAATTACAGACTTCAAGCTCAATGTAATTGTTCCCAATCTAAAATGTGTTTGTTGGATTGTATGGAGGTTTTTATGGGTATTTGGGAAACTGAAAGTATTGATTTGCATCATTTAAATTTTCAGTCAGATATCTGTGGACTTGCAAATACATTGAAATTAATTTCAGTCACTATTGCAAAAGCTGTTAATAATTGATTAACTGGACAGTTGATCTATAATCATTTTTCTTTAATTACTGGAACCAAAGACATTTAAAGGAATGTTGGAATAATGCAAATAGAAACCATAAATGGCCCTGATAATCATCAAAAAGCTAGAAAACCTCTTTACAATCCCTTTAATATATATCTGAGTATTGTGTAATAGAACTTAACAAATTTAAATAATTTACATCAAGCTGAACAGATTGTCTTGTTTTATATTTTAACCCAGTCTAGACAAGTATACTGTTTTTAAAATAGTTATACCACCTTTCTAAGATTACATCTATTTATTATAGGATAGCAACACTTGTAGCTAAGTGTCTAATTAGCTGTACACTGTAGCTAAGACATTAATTAGCATGTTTGTTCATTCGTTTGTTTTTCAAGCTTTAATCCTGAATGAATGTTTTGTTTATTAATAAGTAATGAATACCCAGATATATTGATTGTTATTTTCCTATATATAGACAAGGTGGTCATATAATCTGTCTCACACAATAAACACTCTTACTGACAGGTTATGGTATAAAAAATAAGCAAAGCTAAAAATAGTTTATTACTCTTTAGCAAGTTCCATTACAGAGTTCAATATAGGTAAATATTTCCTTATCAATGTCAATTTTTACATTTTCAGGTATATCTCCTGTTTGTTTTATTTGTTTAAGTTTTAGTTGTGTTTTTAAATGTGTATAGTAAATCATCTACAGTATTTGTACTGAAGTGTGGAGATCTAATTCAACATAAGAAAGTGACAATCTTAAAGGTTTTCTTAACTTTTTATGTGCATTTTGGACCCTATTAGCATCAATTTGCACTATTTCAATTTTCAGTCAGACGTCTGCAATTCCATTAAAATCTAATAAGATATATTAGAGATAAATAGTGATTTTTAATGCAATAGTGCTGTTATAAAGTCAGGGCACAATAAACAATATGTCTTCAAAATGTTTAAGTAAAAGTATTTCTTTGACACATTTTTGTAGAAAATTAGGAAATCATATCAAAAGAATCCAATTGACTACCATTATTGGTGATAAATCCCTTAAGCTTAGGCAAGACCATGATTAAATCAATTGTCCTCAATGAAAAATTGTTAGGAAGCTTTCCGACGGTATTAATTAAGATTGTATGGATTTTTTTCTGCTCGACAGTTTTTAGTCATTAAGATCTGTAATTGTGCTGATATAAGTTTCTTTATCATTTCAGATAAAACTACAACAAAATGTCCGACGAGAACAGAGATGATAATTTTTCTGACATCAACGCCTTCAATAAACCAGAATTACGTTCTTCTTATACGACCTTAACATATATCAACGAAGATGATGATGACACTGTATCACCTGACTATGTAGGTACTGAGTTTAATGACGATGAATCCTCCACTGATTTTGACAATCCAAATTCAAAACCAAGTTCAACGGAAAAATTAAGATTCACAAACAATAATAGTGATTTCCTTCATGATGTTTCACCAACAGACAACAACAATAGTGAAACAAAAGATCACAAGGATGGGAATGATGCAGCTCATTCTGATGGACTAAAGGAAAATAACAACATAAGTGAACCAAATAAACATAATGGATCTACAGTGAACAAAAATTTAAGTGAGCCAAGTGTTCAAATTCAAAATGGCCACAATTCTTCAACTGGTGTTAGTGATACAAACTCTTGTCCAACAGCCATTTTTTCTACTAATAACCTTGAAATGGATTCTACTCCGAGAATAACTCAGACTAGGTTTGATGCATCACAAACACCTTTGACAAAAAGACGCATCCTAATACTAAAATGTTTGGCCGTGGCTGTAGCCATTTTCTTTTTTCCAGCTGGAATACCAGCAGTCTATTATGCATTTAAGATAGACAAAGCTTTTCAAGCAGGAATTATGCAAGGGAATATAGATTTAGCTTTAAAATATGCCAAAAGGACAGAGAAATTAGTTATCTTATCATTGGTATTAGGAGTTCTATTTATTGTGATGTGTTTTGCTATTATTGAAAGAGCGGTGTATGGTAATGAATATTATTGGCATCATGGAACTGTAGCTGGTCGTGGATAATTATATAAAGTGTATAAAGAAGACAGTAATTGAAGACATTTGACAACTGTCATGAATACAGTCAACATCATTTTATATTTATTATACTGCTCTTTAAGAAACATATCATAATCACTAATACTCATACAGCATTCAAATCTATATCTAAGATTCATCTTGTAATTTCTATGTCTACTCCCTATGTTTGGATTTGAAGATTTTAAAACTTTCTTAAATTTTTAATAAATATACTTTGGTTTTCAAAACTTCATTTAAACTGTGATTAGGATTGCATAAAAGTATGAATACCACTGTAAAATGTGTTTTTAAAATTATATTTTGTTTTACCTCCTTTACAAAATGATGTAGTTTGAAACTACAATAATAAATTGATAAAATCGATTTTGTAAAGATGTTATCGTCCAATGAAGAAATCACATTATATGCAGTCAGAATTTACCATTAATGACAAAAGTGCTTAAAGTTGACATTATCTTATATAATATTATTCCAAATTAATAAAGCATACCGGTACCTAGTGATGACTAAGTTATTTATAGTAATATTGATGTCATAAATCAATTCTTATTGTGTCTGCCATTATATTTACTCTGTAATCAATATAAAATTGCTATAGATACACTATCTTCTTTAAGGGAATCAATTAACATATTTTTTCTGACTTATCAAGTGACAAATTTTGGGTCAATCTGAAAGTTCAATAGGGGATATTGTAAATTAAAATATAGCAAATGTGATAACTTTTCTTTTGAAAACTTCATAATATGTTCTTGTGCTGCAAATGCAAGTTGGCTGAATAACTACTTATATATTTCAAATTATTATATGATAAATCCTGTCTGTACACTTGACATTGTCAAAAATGATCAGAACCAGTTAGAAACATGAACGCTACTTCACTATCGAAATATAACTGAAGCATTTTTTCAGGTTTATTCATAAGATGACAGTCTTTAGTGGCACAAATTGGCACATTGACAATTTTGTGAATTTTGTGCAGTCAGACAAAATTTGATCTACATAATGTTAACTTTGAAATAACCACCACCCTCCAAAATAATTCAAATGTGGAATAAAAGCTGAATTATCTAATTATACTATTCTTGACTACCATGCATGTAATTATTGTGTAAGTTTTGGTGATTATTAAAAGGTGAATATATTATGAATATAAACATATTGTTTGTATTGTTGTATTTTGTTGTGTAAATACTCTACTAATAATAAACTGTGATAAATAAATAATTATTTACTCTTATTGCTTGTTTTTTATATACAGTATATCCTGCTCACGCAACCACCTTTATTAAGCAATCGCCTTCAATATGCGATCACAATAAAATCCCCCCTACGAGTTTTCAATGTAATTAACGACTGATAAGCGAAAAACCTTCATTACGCGACCAGCGACCGTGTATTTACACTCCCGTGTAATCATATTGAGTCAATTAAGCGACCATGACATTTATTAACTACCTTGATAAAACATCACGTTGTTTCACACATCAGTGAGATTATTAGTGATTTTTGCTAATCGGTCTAAGGATTAATTTTATAGCTTGTTAATGATTAATGTCAGTCTATTATCGATATAAAAAGGAAGCTAAGCAAGAGCCATTCAATTTCAAAATGTCAAAGCCCACACGTAAAGTTTTAACATTAAATGAAAGGGTCAAGGTCATCAACTTGGCGAAAGCCGGGAAAAGTGGTCGACAAATTGCCGATGAAATAGGTGTTTGTAAGTTCCAAATTCAGGGAATTCTGAAGCGTAAAGCAGAAATTATGGAGGATTTTGAAAGCAATGTTTCTCCCAATCGAAAACATGTGAAGCGGTTCACCGGCAATGAAGAAATCAACAAATTAACTAGGGAGTTTTTTAAAGATTGTCGCGCCCGGAATGCTGTATTGAAAGTGACAACGATGATGATGATAATGTTCCCTTATCTGTGTTGAGGAAATGTAAAGAACCGACAAACTTCTGTACAAGATTTCCTAATTAAAAAATGTAAATAATATCTATAATGTTATATTGTTATTTTGTATATTTCTAATACATAGAATGAAATAAAGGAAATGAATGAAATTGTTTCAGCCAACTCAATTCTCTCATAAGAGACCACCTCCAGTAAGAGACCGTTTTTGAATTTTCCCCTGCATGGTCTCTTCATACAGTTTATACTGTACCAACTTATTTTATGCTGAGCATGTATATTTCTGTTCCTCACCACATGATATTATATAAAAACAAGTCTATTTCTTTTCAGGATAGAATTTTAACTCAACATAACTTCATTCTAGTAGCACATTAAATGTTCCTTTAGAAACAATATGATGATAATCCACATCTAGCTTAAAGGGACAGATGCGCCATTTTCGGGGGTTGATTCAGTCTTGAATGTATGTAAATAATCTTAAAAAGTACAGTACTAGAAATGTTAAAAAATCGCTTAATTCCTTTAAAAAATACCTCAATCTGGGAATTACTCACTATTTCTATATATATCTTTTCTATATAATTATATATTACGAGTCGTCATTTTAAAAGACGATAATCCTAGACACACTCAAATTTCTATGGTCAGCTGTGAACACTGTTACTGAGTGGCTTAGCTAAAATAATTTACATTTCTGAGTATGACTGGTCAAAAAGAATAGCCTGTGAGTCTCTTTAACCTATTTTTGATAAATCAAGGGAAATAACTTAAGAATTGTTGACAACACTAATGGCATACAAATTAATATTGTTAAATTGGAAAGTCATATATCATTACCAAATATGTTATCAATGAATAAGATTTGGCATTTCATAATTCAGAAAATGTGAACTGTGTAGGCATACTTACCAAAGCTTTACTGACAAACAATACTGCTTGACCAACACCAATCTCTGGTAATTTAGAACAAAGTCTGAACATCTTGGTTATAAAGTATTACAGTTTACACCATTTACTAGTTAATTCTATAACTGAAAAACACATTTATAATACTATCAATATACACACCACACTACTGTATGGCACAGGTAAGTTAATACAGGCATTTCTTGGATTTTTATTATTCTTTATAAATATGATTAAAAGTATAATAAGGCAACCACAGTCTGATGCATGGTATAGCAAATTATGTTTATGGACATAAGGAATCTTTACCAAATTCCATCAAAATTAGAATCAGAAATATGAAAAATTTCTAAAATAATCAAAGATGGTTATGTTTAAAGTTTTCATTATCAAAAATGTTGTAAGTTATACCTGAAAATATTTCTAAAGTTTGCTATTTATATCTATGTATCTTCCTGATCAAACTGAATTTGTACAAATTGGGATTATAAGCAGTTTGATCTAGTTTTGTGTTTGGCTTTATAATGGCTCGATATTATTTAGAATACTATGTAAGAGACATATTTCTCTACAATTAGGAATTCATTTTAGTCCAAAGAGCGTAATGTTTTGGGACTTTCAGAAATGTTTAGGAAACAACACTCTAATTTTTGGTGTATAGTTTTCACAAATTTGAGCAAAAAATGTTTTTGACCTACAAAAAAAGCAGAATGTCCCTTTAACCCACATTTCATAATCAATATGGTGTCGCAAAGCTTTTCGGAATTTTTATGGCAGGATAAATGAATCAAAAATTTGTCAAAATGGCCTGTATTGGGCATAATGTTGTATTGTGTATTGATGACACATCAGAATTATGGCACATTATTTTTATTTCTGAAACATGGAGTGATAGAATTTACTATAAGAGACTAAAGCAGAGGTTACAGCACTCCAGATTTCCTTTGCTCGATTATTGTACGTCAATTTGATTACCTGCTGGGATATATGCATTGATCACCTTAATTAGATTTGCTTTCATACAGAGGATAAATGGTTAGATCTTTGCTTAATTTTTGGAATTTCTTATTTTCAAGCAGTCATTTCAGATGAATAAACTGAGCTCAGAATTTTTCTCTCTCATTTCACACATTTTTTAAATAAAATTTTCATTTGCATGTTGTCTTAGATAAAAGGTTTGAAAATTTTTAATTTGATTTTGAAATAAATACACTTTGCAGCCAGAAATTTCCTATGAAATAAACCCACAAAAATGAAAATAAAATCAATAGGTTAGAGTTTTATTTTCTACTCATCTGCACCTAATTGAACTAATGAAGACAGGCAACGTCTTGTAGTGTGCACTGAGGGTAATTTTTCCAGAACAGACACATTGGCCTGCTATTTTTTTATTTCCAACTGTCAAGGGATCTTTGTGCACAGACTGTAACATACAGAGACTCGGTTTAATGTCCCATCAATCTGAAGGACTTTCTTTCTGACTACATTATCTTATCAGCTTACTGACTTGAATTTTGGCAATCATTTCTGTATGAAATTGAAATATCAAAAAAAAAATGATAGGAATGCAAACCATCTTTTAGTATTGTTATCAATGTACCTTTAGAAATTATTTAGTCTGTATTACATTTTCTTCATTCTTAGGCTAGGCTACTTAAATAGAAGTAATGAGCATGTTTGTGGTCTGTAGGTTGCGTCTAACAAGAAACGAAAGATCATGTATCAATCTTCAATCATTTGTTTACAATATAATGTTTTGTTATTTTGCATAATATTTCTAGTATAATTGTAATTTTTGTGAAATTGTCATATCATCAAAATGGGGTACGAATCAATCACATAGTATTTCGTTTTATATTATAGCATTAGTCAAAAATTGTTCAAACCGGAAGCAAAATGGTCGATTTTAGTCAATAAAAGAAAGTAATATCTAAATTTTACCAAAAATCATGGTTTTGGGTGTAGAAAATGAAATAAAGCCTTCCTCCCCATTTTCTCCCGGGATAAGAAGATTCATTGACACCCTAGTTACAGATGGGCGATTCGGTGTGTGTCCTGGAGAAGTCAAAGTTTCTCAACCAAAATCAGGGTATGTATTTTCAACCCCGAAAAGTAAAAGTACTGCCCTATGACTGTATTGTCATTCGAGTGTTATAATCTATAGGGCGAAGTATCTTCTTTAGTCATTTGCTAGATTTCGTATGCTTTTTGATTTAGTAGGCCAACCTAACCTAAACCTACTTTAATCAGACAGGGCACAAGATGTCTTACGTAGTATGGGCTGCAGATATTATGAATTTTAAATAATGTTTTAATTTTTCCTTTTAGTTGTTTAAGTACAGATGAGGTTCCCAAGTGTGATCGTTTTAAATTAACTATACCTTATGCTGGTGACACAATAACATGTAAGTTTATTTAATAAGCTTGTATAAGCTTTAAAAAAGTTGTTTTCACTAGAATCCTGTCTTCCAGTTAGTCCATGGCCAAACCTCCTGTCATTGTTCTTCTGTACCTATTTAAAACACTGTGTTCAACTGTGATTATGGAGACTTTCCCACACTGACCAAGATTAGAACCTACAACCACAATTTGTTGGATGAAATAAAGTAAATGACATCATGTAAAGATTCCAAGGCTGTTACCCACTGTGCTACAGTCTGTCTTCATGTAGAGACAGTTATCTAGATATTTCAGCTTTGTTCACTGTGCTTAATTTCTGGTACATCTTTTAACAAAAGAACCATTATAACCATTTGAATTAAAATTCGGAAAATTTCATTTCAGGGGAGGTAATTTTTGACTGCACACATCCATCAAACCCACCGGATTTTATTTTTGGTGTAGAAGATGAAGGATTTTATCCCAATATCGAGGATATTCAGGTAAATTGTGTTTGATTTAATTTTTTCATCTGAAGTATGAATGAGGAATGAGCTATAGAAATAAGAAAATACAATGGTAAGATGGCGCTGCAGTATGTCTGTGAAATATAGACATCACAAAATCTCTTGTTTGATTTCAATTGATACAAAAAATGTCTGCTTTTCAGTTAGAAATAAAAAAAATAAGCTGATTTCACCATCCCAGCAAATTTGCCTCATTGGACACTACAAGGTGTCAACCCAAACTCGAGCAGAAATCAGGAAGTAAACCTTTATTTCATTTCATTTTAGAGTTTAGTGATGTGGAATCCACAAGATGTAAAAGGTTTAATTTATGTTGTAGAAGAGCTATTACAACATTATCGTCAGTTTCAACTATCTTTATTAGAAGGATCTAGGTTACAGTTTGAATATACACATCTTATTGAACATACTTCTAGTAAAGCTGAAGATATTGAACTTATTGTCTCCAGAAATGAGGTAAGCGTAAAAAATATTTTTGAAGTCATACAATACTAATACTATAAATTAGTCTATCTAATTGGCCATCTCTAGTCAACAGTTTGTATTCCACATAACTTGAAGTTATGTATATGTATGGTTATTTAGAGGCTTTATAATATATAAACTCATTTTTTTTTTTTAGAATCGAATCGGACCAGTTAACTTCTTAATTAAATTAGATCTTGATTTATCAAAAATACCACCAATACTATCAAAGGTATGATTATTGATATTTATTGATTACTTTTTTTACGTGGTAGAAAGGTTGTATATGGGTTCATTTGTTTGATATTAAATTTACTTTATACATCATATGAGGCAGGGGTATCTTTTGCTATGGCAATAGTTATTAAGAGTTCATCTTTGATTTTGTACAAATTGGAGAAATCTTTAAAGACTTACTTTATTGCACCTTGTTTTTCCGGAATGTCCATTTGGCTGATATTTACATTAGTATATATTCTTGAACCGTCATTATGAGAATTTTAACTTCAGGATTTTAGTGGTACAAACTCAGCAGTACTATTAGTGAGTTATTCTACCCCAGAAGGTTATCGAGTTTCACCACAGTTATTTCTTTCACCTGCTGTTGAATCGTAAGTATATATCATTATATAGTTTATTGTTTATAGGCGTGGGTACTGCAGTAATTTTGAATAGTTTGCTAGCTAGCAGAAGTTAGATTTCCTACACTGGATAGGTTTCTGCTTATATCTTTAACAGTATTTGAGAAACAATTGTGTCTTGTATGGTCACAAATTATTGTCACAAGTACAAACTATCGAGAGCTAAATAAACTCCCTTGTTTACCCTATCATGTTCAATATCTTTGAGAAGTGACGGATGAGTGGAAATTAAAAGTTTTCTATTGGGGAAACGAAAGAGCCACATGCTTCTCATTCTCTACCTACTGGCTTCTCTCTCGGTTTCACCACATTATATCTTATGAAAAGTGAAAACCAAGAACTGTATGTGTATGACTTGTTCTTGATTTGTGTTATTTAAAAAGTGTAATGGATCCTGTTCTGTGTTTTGTAGAGCATTAGGTGGATCATTACATTTAAGAATCCCATCATTTTCATCTGGTGAAACATTGTTTGACTATGTACCTAGTGTTTATACTTTACTTAAAAACAAGGTAAGTTATCTCAGGTTCATTTAAGGAATCGCAATTGACAATACCTCTTCCATAAGTCGGTGAATGGAATCACAAATTTTTCTCACTAACTTCAGTGAAATTGTTTGAAACTATTTATAAGACTATAGACATTAACCACTCCTATCAACTACATTATCAAATATCACAGAACTTTATTAAGTTATAATTAATGAATATTGTAACTTTGAAGATAAAGTGTTCAATTTAATCTAATTACCCCATATCAGGCTACCTATTGTGACACTTGTATTACATATTACACATTAGTACCATATGCATAAATTTGAAGGATATATTGAAGTTTATATATTGTTTAATTTTTAAATTACTAGATATTAGATTGGTAAAGAGATAATTGGTAACAGATTTGTATTAGTAAAAAGTAATATTTATTGAAATAGTATGGGATAATACATAATAAAATAATAATCTATAGTAGGTGTTGCAATTGTACTAGTGTACTATTAGTACATAGAGTACCGATACGCATGTAAAAATTATTAACACATTTTACTAATACTATGATGAAATGGATTAAAATAGAATATTTTACATAAATATTTTAGTTAATTGATAAATCACTATCATACTAGAAAATTTTGATAATCAGTTCATATTTAATGTAAGTTTTCATATGATAGTCCCAAAACTATTTTTACTATTTGATTTGTCCCTTGTTGAATAGTTAAAGGCTAAATACTCTGATCCTGGTGTTAAGATATGGTTATAACAATTTCTTAGAAGATTTCCAATTGAAGTCGTCTGGTTAATAACGAATGCTCGTAAAATAAAATACTTTAATCAATCTTAGAAAGTGTCTTCCTACTTCTTTTATCATACAATCTCTTTGAAGGTTTCATTTAAAAATAATTTATTTCTACATTGAAAATGACCTATTTTTCTAGATTTCTGATGTAGTTATAGATTGCTACTTTGCTCCTAAAACATGTAAAGAGCTGTCACTAATATGCAACAGGTTTTTCTTCAATTCTTCGTTGAAGTTTTTGAATGAAAATGAAATAGGTTTTTTTTCCCTTTTTTTCAGATAAAACATGTAGTAGATAGTTTTGAAAAGAGAGAAGAATATGTTTCAGCATTTATTGCCCATTATGGAAGGTAATAATATATTTGGTTTATTTTCAAATTTGAGACAGATAGATATTTTGACAGTTATAGGCTGGAGTAGAGTCAGAAAAAACTAGGCCCTGTTTTATAGAGATTTTCCACAACCCTGAAGATGTGTTTTTTCTAACTTTGTATTAAATAACCTTTACGTTGACTGTAAATTTTGTTTTGTTAGTATATCATTACTCTGTGACCAGTGAAATTTTGGCCGACGAGAGATCTGTTTCATTTAAAAAAAAAACCTTGATGGAACCACAGAAGTAGCATAAATGGTGTAGGAAGGTTATGATGGTATGACTGAACTACATAAATATCCATCTTTCTGATTTAAATAAATAAGTTTAAAAAAAAACACACACACCTTCAGAGGTGGGGAAATCCTCACAGAACAGTGCTTAGTTTTTCTGCCTTTACATCAGCCAACAACTGTCTAAGTAACTATCAGAGGTTGGAATTGAGGCAGATGTTTCGGTCTAACTAAAGATTGATCATTATATTTTTTGGGAAATGTTGTCCTGGAGGTTGAAGTATCTATACAAATAACAAGATTGATTTGTTACTAGCTTGAAAACATGATCAATTATTGATAACTAATTGTATAATGATGGAACTTGTTAACATAAATATTGTAGTCAGTAAGATTAGAAATAAGAACATTGATTGGTTGATCCTTAGTATTGACCAATCAGAGACCTTGTTTTGAAAAAGATTTGTAAATGACAATCTTTAATACATCTAATTGGCTAATAGTATCCATAATAGTCCATTGCATGTTGTTATTACTGTAAGACTACAAGTCCAAAACTTAAGTTTCAGGGATAAATATCCTCAAAGAATACAAAAAGTTTGCTGTTTTATTAAGCTAATAATACAGGTCACCAGCTTTCACATACAATGTTACAAACTTGGCGTTACGAATAGTTAATAGAAATAAAGACAACTCATACTAGTGTATTGATATATATATATATATGATTATATGTTATATTTCAGATCTGTTTTAGAATATGATAAAGCAAGTTTTTCAACAATGGCATTTTTATTTGAATGGAATGATTTTTACTTTATATTTAGGAGTAAGTTTTTTTCTGTTTACCACTCAGACCCAAAACAAACCTGATCGAAATCCATTTTATGACAAATTTTTTTATGCAGTTGACAAGGGCTTAGCTCTTGCGGTATCCAGTTAAAACGGTAACCAACCAAAACGGTAACAAATCTTGATAGTCGAAATGGTAACAGAGTAACCAAATCGGTAACACAAATTTGGTTAAAATGGTTACAAATCTGCCAAAACGGTAACAAGACAATAATTTGGATAAAACAGAAAGATATCAAGCTAACGGTCTGGTTCCTGTCTTAAGTATAAGGTAAAGATACTAAAATAAGGAAGTCACAATATCAGGTGACAGCAGACGTTTTTTTTTTTTTTCAAATATTTTATGGTGTTGATTTAAATAAAACTATATCCTTATGTCATATGTTGTTTATTCGTTTTAAAGTTCTTTTGTTACCGTTCTGACTGGCATTCCCTCATGCTACCAACATGTATTTTGGTTATAAAGTACTCAGCTAGTTTTGAAAGTGGTCGTTAGTTTTTTACTTTGGGACTGGAGGTAAATAAGAAAATTAAACAAACTCACTAAATGGGATATTATTTCTGTTTTAGTTGAATTACCTTCATATTTCCCTAAAGAACAACCAGTATTCTATTTTCAATCTATATACCATGAAACTAAAGGTAAACCATACATGGAAATGTTTCAAGATTATCCATATAGTCCTAGATGGAGTGGTAATGAAATGGCAGAGAGAGCCAGGTAAATTGTTTTTACTATCTATCTCTGTAACTAATTATCTAAGCTTTGTTAGTGATAAACTGATTTCCATTATCTGATAATTTTTTGACTTTGAAAATGACATTTATTTTCTCATAATCTGCCCATTGTTATAATACCTTCAACAGCTATGTTTTTAACTTTTTCAGATTGTTTATTTTGGACAAGATAGGTGCTTTTCAGAAAGCTTCAGTTTTAGCTTGAAAATCCTGTCAAAACAAAGGTGATATTTTGGTGCATTAATATTGAAAGTGCTTACGCATTGACCGGTTCCAAAGAAACCTGACTCCCAGGTAGAATTTCGACACTAAAAGCTATACTGATTCTAGATTATAAAGATCTTTTCAACTTTAAGCTGTTGGGCTTTTAAAGTCTTTGGTCAGAGGAAGTTGATATAGTGTGTCTGACATCTCAAAAGTCTATTGGACTCTCCCACACATGCATACTTTCTATCATTAGTCAAATTGGGGTGGACTTTGTTAAATTATAAGCAGCCTTTTCTGAATAAAGGATCTTACTTGAACATGCTATACATTAAAGATTTATTTTGTTTGAGAATGACCTGTATATCAGACACCTCTAGACTGCAGTGAAAATGATAGGAAAAAAAAGGGCAAGTCAAAAGCTGTGATTGAATCAAAACAGAAGCAAACATTCTAAAATTGTAAAAAGCCTCTGTGCAATGATGCTTTTTGTAAAAGGTTACACTATTGAAGCAGATTTGGTTCTTTAAATATGCTTCAGCAGCTGATAGAGCATAAAACACTTGAGCTGATAGCATTCAATTTCAACTATCCATATTAGTAATCAAACTAATATCCTACACCTTGTTCTCCTACAATTCAACAAAAAGTGAGGTTTAATATTGGCCTTCATCTCACGATGGCAGTTATAATTGATAAAATCATGACTTTGATAATATAAGCAGGGGACAAATAAAATAAGTCCTGGAAGTGAAGATAATCTTACTGAATTGTAGGTGAACCAGATGTTTAACACTTATGTTTAACAATGTTGTGTATAAGCTTACTTGCTTTAAAGTGATTGGCTTTTAAAGTTTGGCAAATGAGTCTTATTTTTTTTTGTAAATAATTAGTTTTAGCATTATTAGAGCATGATAGCTTTAAGCTCAACTAGTAACTGAAAACCTTTTAGAATTAAGAGATTTGTCTGAACGCATTTTAGAATATCCTAAATTTAACAATGAATGAACTAAAACAATAATGGTGATTAAAAGATATATATTCTGTCTATAATGACAAGAACATTGTTATAGTCTATAAGTTATTGATCATTTTATATGTTAAATATAAATAAATGTTTTTATAAGAACTGGTGTACTATACATACAAATATAAAATGAAAATTCATTGGAATATACAAGTATACAGCATGTTCAGTCGCAGAAGAATAACTTTCAATCTGTTACATTTCATTTTTGATCAGACATTTCTATTTCCACAAGAATAGTTTTGGAGAAAATGGAGTTCAAAGTTTCTAAACCACATAATATGTTTTCAATACTTCTTTGGAATAGAGTAAAACTTTGTCTAATCAGCTATTGCTGGGTTAAATATACCAAATACCATCAAATCCCCATGTAATTTTCAAATGAATTCAACCAATTTATATCTCTGACTTTGCTGCCTTCTGAATAGATATAAGTTATGCGTTAATTTAGCGTCAGAATGCACCATCAATTTTACACTTTCTTGAGATGGAACGCTCTCAGACGCTCCATGGTAGTCTTGTGCCAATGGCGCTGCTGCATTTTGAATTCAATCTGGAAAGTTGTACCCCCATTAAGTCATTCTGTCTCTAATTTTTGCCGCCACTTGACGTCCAACTTGACTCTGAACATGAAACTGATATACCTAACTAATATCCACTATGGTACTGATATAATTAGAGAATATACTATAAGAATAAGAAGATATTGTACCCTGTGGTTTTTAATTAGCAAATTAATGAACGCAGACTTTCCCTAGAGACAACTTTATATATCCATTGTATATCTACAATCATTACTATGACGGATTATGAATATTCGATATACGTCCTTTTCGAACATTGAAATACATACAGGATATTGATTCCAACGGTGGTCCAGACCGCGTTACGAATGCCCATGAATGAACCAAAACCTAACTTGATAGGATTCCGATGAAACTTTGTAGTCTATGCTTATTGCTTATATTAAGTTTTTAAATTCAGCGATTTGATTGGACTGTACGCTAGTCAGTACAGACATTCATAATTATGTTCTAATGACATACGAAATCTGACGCCTGATCTAGTTGCCAGGCTGTTTTGTGTGGCGTTAATGGGTACCACGGTGAAAAATATGGCACTACTCATCAAAAAACACATTTCGGACTAGATGTCCAAGGGAAAAATCCAAATGTTCGAACAAATTAATGTATAGATAACATTGGATTCTATCATCTATTAGAATAATTATATACTCAAAGTGGCGAATAAGTTGAAAAGATAAATGAAACAATATCAATTTCATTCTAACTTTCAAATTCATGATTTTGGTCATGGATATGGCTTAATTAGTATTCCGTAGATACAAACCTTTTCAAGCTTATCTCAAATTACATATTTCCATATTATCAATTGACTTATTATCATAATAACACCAGATGCCAAATGTTGATATAAATGATTATATTTCATGAAAAAAGCACAATTAATTTTGCAATGCTATGCGTTAGATGACATGGTTTCAGTTTATTCTGAAAATTTGAGTGACATGTAGTGTATTAATCAGACAAACCCGTAGTATCATTTTAGTCAGATACTTAACCTATCATGCAATATTACACATATTTAGTCCGACAATTAATTTTAATAAGGTATACTGTAAATGCACCTAGTGCCAATTTATTCCAAAAATTACACCTAGTATTATATTAGCAGAAAATTACATAGTATCATTTTAATCAGAAAATTAAACACAGTATCATTTTAGTCAGAAAATTAAACACAGAATCATTTTAGTCAGAAAATTAAACACAGAATCATTTTAGTTAGAAAATTACACTAAGTATCATTTTAGTCAGAAAATTAAACACAGTATCATTTTAGTCAGAAAATTAAACACAGAATCATTTTAGTCAGAAATTTACACTTAGTATCATTTTAGTCAGAGGATCAAACATGATATCATTTTAGTCAGAAAATTGGATCCAGTGTCATATTTGTCAGAAAAATCCCTTTTTAGTATAATTTTATTTAGAAAATTATGCATTATCTGTTTGTGAATCTAAATGTGAAATTATGAATGTTATATGAACTCTTATTCTGAACACAGAAAATGTCCATGGATCACGATTATTTCGTATACCATGTCTAAATACTCTGATTTGTCGCTGGTATTCCAATGACTCAATAATCTGACCTTAAATAACTTCATTCCCGCTGAGATAATCACTGTGGCGAACATTTGATCTTTTGGTTTGTGAATATAGTTCATGTTGAGAAGTATATTACTCTAGTCTTAATATATAATTATGGAGTTTTTTTCTACTGATAGAATCTAAACGATTCGTACTGTTAATTATTTTTCCACATCAAAAACATTTATCTTTATAAGTTCCTATTTTGGTTCGCTTGATGACCTATTTGCTCTAATCTATTCAATTTCCACTTCAGATTGAAATTGAGGTTAATTATTTTTCCTCATATTCTCGTTTTTTTCAACCCAGATTCCCAAATCTCAACAGTCACAGTGCTCTATGGTCATCAGTCAATTCTACATGTCGGAGTACCAGAGGAATTTTGAGAATTTCATTATGAGATAATCGTTGGTTGATTCAGAAATTTCTGAATACTGAATCCTACTAATAATCAGAGACGTTTTTTGCCAATTGTCATTTAGTATGTGTAAATTGATGTGGAAATTTGGAAGTGATGGTGCCGTATACAGAAACCCCACTGCTTACAATTCACATTTTGCGTGAAGGACTTGTAACGACAGGGATTGAAGTATTCTTCCTCGGCAAGACCAGAAAGGTAACTATTACTCGCGGAAACGAAGCAAAAATGATCACCCGAACGTTATAGTCTGGATAATGAAGATTACTGTATTCAGAACCCAAGCTGTACCCCTATTAATCAAGGCAATTGTGACTTTTGGTGCACACTGGTACAAATGTTGGCTTTCACGAAGCAGCGAAGTCTGGTGAAACATAATAGCTCGAAAAAAGCAAACTAAAGTCTTTGACTTTCAGATTTTTTAAAGCAGACAGACGGTTACATACCAAATAACTACAAAAAAATCTAGATTTCCAAATCTCATTTTTTCCCTTAAAATCTATAATTTTTTTCGAGTTAGATACAAGTAATTACAAACAGACCGTGACTCGATGGTTCAGATTGTGCCGCATGATTAGACCAATCATCACTAATCAGTGTCACTCAAATTGAATTTTAACTATAAATAAGAATATAAATACTAACAGTCGATTGGATAGTCAGAAATTTAACAATAGTGTAAATACTGGGTTTGAAAGGTAATCACACAGTCAAATACATACAAAAAGCACAAAAAAGTATGCAGTTATGTGTAATGGATGCGGTATTGAGATATGACTGTATTTTGTTTAACACGGCGGTATTTAACCTGAACACTAGACCACTGCTGAGTTGTTTGTAACACCGTATTTGATACAGGAAATGAAACATCTGCATTTTAATAATATTGAATTCATCAGTAGCCTATCTGAATTCCCGGTAAAATATTGTTATAAAATAGACGTCATACACCACAGCTAAAGGAATATAAAAGATGTGATAAACGTCATACACCACAGCTAAAGGAATACAAAAGGTGTAATAAACGTCGTACACCACAGCTAAAGGAATATAAAAGGTGTAATAAACGTCGTACACCACAGCTAAAGGAATATAAAAGGTGTAATAAACGTCGTACACCACAGCTAAAGGAATACAAAAGGTGTAATAAACGTCGTACACCACAGCTAAAGGAATATAAAAGATGTGATAAACGTCATACACCACAGCTAAAGGAACATAAAAGGTGTAATAAACGTCGTACACCACAGCTAAAGGAATATAAAAGGTGTAATAAACGTCGTACACCACAGCTAAAGGAATATAAAAGATGTGATAAACGTCATACACCACAGCTAAAGGAATATAAAAGATGTGATAAACGTCGTACACCATAGCTAAAGGAATATAAAAGGTGTGATAAACCAAACGTCGCACACCACAGCTAAAGGAATATAAAAGGTGTAATAAACGTCGTACACCACAGCTAAAGGAATATAAAAGATGTGATAAACGTCGCACACCACAGCTAAAGGAATATAAAAGGTGTATTAAACGTCGTACACCACAGCTAAAGGAATATAAAAGATGTGATAAACGTCGCACACCACAGCTAAAGGAATATAAAAGGTGTATTAAACGTCGTACACCACAGCTAAAGGAATATAAAAGATGTGATAAACGTCGCACACCACAGCTAAAGGAATATAAAAGGTGTATTAAACGTCGTACACCACAGCTAAAGGAATATAAAAGATGTGATAAACGTCGCACACCACAGCTAAAGGAATATAAAAGGTGTAATAAACGTCGTACACCACAGCTAACGGAATATGAAAGATGTGATAAAAGTCGTACACTGTACCGTTGCTAAAGGAATATGGAAAACGAATGGCAAACTTATTAAGAGATATTAGATTAGGGAAATTTATTGACTATCTAAGGCATACATCATACATTATCGTTTTTTTTATGGCAGTACCATGGTACGAGTAGCCTACTAATAGATGGGATATATTAGAAATCCAAAAGACTAGGAACGTAGGTTTAACATGGGGAACGAGAAACATCGCAACTTTCGAGTTGCACATATTTAATTATAAGGGACAGATGCGCCATTTTTTTTATCAATCATGCTTTAGTCTCAGAAACGGGAGTTTTTAGGTAAGCCAATCAGTAATGGTGTTCACAGCTCAACGTAAAAATATGAGCCTTCAAATCCATGCGTGTCGTCAGTGAATAAAATACCTAGTTTAAAGTATTTTTGAAGGAATTATGCGATTTTCCTACATTTCTAGTGTTTCTGAAAACTATTTCAAGTCTCTTAACGACCCACCATAGGCTCAGAGGCCGAAAGGGTGGGGGGTGGGGAGGGTCAGACTGGTTTGCCCGATATTTTTCCCGATGCTGATCTCAAATATTTACCATAATTACTGACGAGGACCATCCAACATAATCTTGATTGTCCCTTGTATGAAGCTCCTGTGAATTATAACACGTGATTTAATACACGCCTTCTTGAACAGTGCTTATAACGGCATCTCGACGGACTATCGGGCGGACCATCATTGTGTTTATCTTTCAGCTTGACCGAGTATCTGCACTGTCCAGATATGATATCTGCGTCATCATTAAACGTTTCATGGGTTTGTCTGAAGTGTAATGATTTAATGGGATAAAGCAATGTATTGTATTAAATTGGCTAAGTCAGGTGACTGACATTTCAAACGAAGTGCTGTATATAACCAGTGTTGATGACAATGGAATTGATTTCAATTTTGCAGATCAGTTTTCTCATATTCCCACAATTCATGTTATGATACTATAAAGCTTGCCACATCTTAACAATGCCAAACTATTACAAACTTCTTACTAATACATTGACTGCTATAGCCAACTTTGTATAATGGAAGTTTGTAAATTGAGCAATTTGATTGGATTGTTCGCTATCGGATACAGCCAAGCGGAGACTTCTACATCAAGTCTGAACACAAAACCATGATAATGTTTACAACCTTTCTGTCTGTGATTGGCTGTTTTTCGCTGGCGTACAATCCAAACAAATCGCTGCATTTCACGATACAAGAATAGTGACCATTGGGGTCAAAGTGTAAGTACGAAGTTCGTAATAGTTTGACATCGAGAAGATGTGTTTGCCATGGCTTATTACAATACCTTTAACTCAATTGCATACTTTGCGACGTTTTATTTCAATTAGAACATTGATATTAATCTATTGACGTATCAACGGAATAACAAATTTCGAATTTTAATTTAAGTCTTCTCAACGCCGACAAAATGCCGAATGGAGCAGTATAGGCTACCTCTCTTGGTCGTAGGCCATGAAAGTAGACATCGAACCTCAATAGATTTCCACAAGTATAAGTTAGGGTACTATTCCAAATCAAACACTAGATCAAAAGATATATTATCGACTTCTGATAAAGTCATACTAACTTGTTTGTCTCGTGTATTTATTTATTGCTAAGATATCTGTATACATGTGTAAATAAATATCCGGTCTAACTGAAAGAAACATTGATGATATAGTTGAACATATTATCATACTGAATGGATTCTCCAGTTGTAGTACAAATGCATTTCAAGATGCTTGTCAGTCTGGGCTTTCCTTGAAAACAAAATACGCCTTTTCTGCTTCGGCTTATTAAAGGGAACATGCCCATAGACATCGTATCCCGAAAACGGGTTTTGATATGGTCATAAGTTTGACGAATGGGGGTGTGGTTTAGACGCGATGGCCCGTTAGGCGGGTAAAGATAGGCTCTGAGAAGGGAGTAGTAGCTAGACTTAATTGTTCAAAGGGGAAGTAATATATCCGGAGGGGAATGGTGTAAGGTGCTTTGTTGCATTGGTCGGTTGTGTTAATTCTTTAAGAGGGGCACCTATTTTTTCGGTTGGGGTGGGGGAGCAGGTCTTTAAATGGAATGTAGAGAGGTTTTCTAAACTTCGTATGTGTATCGCGGTCACTGACAGCCTCAATTCGCACCATTCACATTTTCAAACGTTCCTGCAATTTCACTGAAATTAATTGAATAATTAGACGAACATATGCCTTTAACAACATGCTTTTAAAAATCACCTGAGAGGGTTCGAGGATCATTGAACCTAGAATATTTACCTCTGTATAATGACTTGTTATATTCAGTTACAAGTTTTCGAACTGACAGACGGTCCATGAACTCTTTATCCAGTGAAGTGGAACCAAATTTCTTTATGTTTATGGTCAAATATTGTGTGTTCAGTCTCGAATGTTGTGTTGTGTTTTTATTTAATATTTTCTCAAGTGAAAAGTAGTGTAAAAAGTGTACTAGTATGTCATGTCATTTCAATATGAGGTTAGAAAGAAGAGGAATGTTAGTCATGTAAATAGAAAAGACGATAATCTATCTGCCAGGCTTGTCTTTTCTCGTATGTGTTAGTAGCTACTCTACATTCTCGAACATTGAGTTGTTTTTTTTATCAACCAGAATCGATAGTTTAACTGTGTAAGTGTAGGTAACAAGACTTTTATTTAAATGCATTGATTCATACTGCTCACACTAGTAGGGCAATAACATGTTTCAATCTTCGTAACTGGATGTCGTGGCTTATAACTTGTATATTTTGACTATTCTATTTATTCGAGTTATAAGTAGCCTATTGTTCGGATTATATGATTTGTGTCGTTCAATTCACATGGACTATTTAAGTGTATGACAGTTGTTTCGTAAGAATGATTTTGGATATTACGAAATTTCTTAATGAAGTTTCTCCAAAGTGCGAAGTGAAATAGGTTTGTAGGTCTCCGTGTAACAGGTTTATTATGTGATAAAATATTACCTTCTGAATGATTTATTCTTATATAATTTTAACAAAATATACTGTGTCGAGCCTTTCATGTTGTTCAAGTGATACTTGGCTCTATCATATCAGTGAAGTGTTCTGTTAGTTTTGTGATATCTGGTTTTTGCTCAATCATTCTTCGTATCTCTATTGTTTTTATATTAGCTTGATACGGTATATCAGTAGATATTCCGGAGTGAATAAATTATAGTAGATTGTTATTATTAACTCAGTCGTGATGGCGAAAACACGTCAACTAATTACCAGTATAATTGGAGTTCTGTGCATCATATTTTTACCAATTAGTGAAAGTCATCCACAGTGTTTGGATTTTAAACCCCCATTCAAACCCAAAACGAATCACGACTTCTGTAACCAGTATTCCAATTTTGGTTGTTGTTCTAAATCTAAGGATGACAATATTCAGAACACCTTTAACTCTCTTCGTTCGTTGGTTAGTGAAGGAACGTGGAATAAATGTCAAGGAACATTAAAAGATCTGATGTGTCAGGAATGCTCTCCGTATGCAGCTCATATTTATGGAGTAGAGGATACGATGGGAGACAATCCATTTCCTGGATTATGTAAAAATTATTGTGAAACTTTATTTGATAGTGGATGTATGGAAATAACCAAATTAATAGATGTGAATATCACAGCTAAAGTAGATCTGAATGATAAAACGAAGTTCTGTAACCATGTGAAACTCTCAGACGTCGACTATTGTTATCCCGAACTTTTACAAAATGATATGCTCAATGGTAATATATCTAATGTACAAATCACTTCCAAAGGATGCCTGTGCCTTGAACCCTTCTTCCACAATTTGAGAAATCCAATTTTTGCTCGAAGTCCGCCTGATGGCAGTAATAGACTGATTATTGGTGAACAACTTGGAATTATCTATGTAACATACCCCCAAGATAAAGATATTTTACAAACCCCTTTTCTTAATATCTCTCATAAAGTGAAAACCACACCAAGAGAAGGCGATGAACGTGGGTTATTTCAGATCGCTTTTCATCCTAAATTTTTATCCAATAATAAGTTTTATATATATTATTCAACACATCTGGAGGAACATGAACGTAATATCAAAATCAAGGATCAGATAAAAGCTAATCATAAAATTAGAATAAGTGAATTCGTGGTCTCAGAATGGGACGAAAATGTTGCTGATCCTTCTACAGAACGTGTTATCCTGGAAGTTTATGAACCTTATTGGAATCACAATGGCGGTGAGGTAAGTTTAAAACTGAAATATATAATTCCAATTGTAACCATCGCATCCACCATCTAGTGCTAATATATAAGTGTTATCCGATAGGCTACACATACAAAAATTAAAATCCTCTTTACAGTCATTTTAAGTATGTAAACCCATAGATCAATTTATACATACATGTATTTCATTCATTCATTTATATTGCCCCATCTAAGGATATAATATATATACATATATGTACTAATCCTTTTTGATATCAATATATTAGTTTGTAAAACCCACAAAAGCGATACACTCGTCCCAATTTGAAATAGATCACCCAAACCTCTGATTGTGAAAAAATGTCTAAATCAACAGTCGCTTTGGTTGGTGAAAACGCGAGAAAACTGTTAATATTGAAAAAACAATTTGGAGAACAGTATCCCTTTATTTTGAATATAGTTAAAGGGACAGATATTGGCCATTTTTTTTTACCAATCCCACTTTAGTCTCAGAAACTTGATTTTTTAACTGAGCTTTCAAATCCCAAAAAAAAAAAATAGCACATCTTCCGCTTTAACATGACTTAGTACATTCCCCTATATCTTTCATTAGGCACGTTGTTTTCACCCAATTTTCATAATTTGCTTTCATTAACTCTAATAACATGGCAACTGCCCAAACACCTTACTGTTTTAATTACGCTAAACCAAAATCCATCAATCAAGTTTCTAGCTGTTAACCTATCATTTGCTCGGAATATCGAATTCATCAAAGACAAAGATGATAAAGTAATAGTTTACAGAGCCAATTTTATTTTGTAAAGTAATATTACAGTAATCAAAACTAAGGTATGCCATCTTTAATGTTTGTCAAATCATTTGAATTACTGAATATAAAAGGGAAGTATTCGTGTTAATAATAGTCAGTCCAGATTAAATACAGTCCTCTTCCAGGTATCTGTAACATCTTCAGAAATAAAATGATCATCTTTACAATATCAAGCCAACTTACAACCCAACCAACTCGCTGCATTTACAAACAAACGTTCGTGATACAAGAAAGGTGGCTATTGCAGCAGTTAAGGCATACGAAACTACGTATTATTCTTACATAGAAATAACACACACGAACATAGTTCACAGCCATTTTGAATTTCTTTCTCGAATATAAAAAACTATAACATTTCAACAAAGCCTTCAAATCACATTTAAAGACATTCAAAACCTGTTGAAATATCATAACTTTGACCATATAAAATTCGACTTATTAAGTCAAGGTAGAGATTCAAAATGGTTTTGAACAACGTTCGTGTGTGTTATTTCCATGTAAGAATCATATGTAGATTCGTATGCAGTCAAGGTATATGACACATGTCGTAATGGGTTGACATTGTGAAGATTAAAAATGGAAATCTGTATGATTCTACAAAAATGCAGACTTAATCACACTAAAATGCAGAACAGCGCTTGATTAAAAGAACGCATTTAAGATTTCATTATATTATTTATATGGTAAGGTGAGAAAAGTAACACGAAATGTAACAGTTGTGCATCTGACAAGACTTGTAGATAAGTGATAAGAGAATTCCACATGAGAAGTTGATAAGAATGTCGGAATCTGTATTATCATCATTATTTATTAGATCATCAGTTGTGTAAGAACGGTATAAAAACTGTATATAATAACAGGGTTTATTACGGTACACACAAATTATCTTTAGAATCTAACAAATTATATACCATTTATAGCTTTAAGTACGTTCTGAATATTGATGTTCATAGCCTTAAGTGCAAAATGTTGAAAGTTATATACATTTGGTATTGGATAAGACGGGAGGAGCGTTTTCCTTAATGTTCCATAAAGATGTTTTTAGTTTTTGTTTGTATAGGTAATTGAAAAAGAATTATTGATCCAATATATGAATGTTAAAGGGATTGTAAAGAGGATTTTTGTAATATCACTAAAACTACGTGTTTTGCAAATTTTGCAAAGTTTTAATAGAATTGCTAGAAACACAGACGTCTGATTGAAAATTGGAATGGCGCAAATTGATATTATCAGTGTCCCCGATAAGCATAAAAAATTTAGAAATCCTCTTTACAATCCCTATAATATTATTTTTGTCTGGCAACATAATTTGGCTTAAATGATAATTATAGTGACACACAGCAGAAGTTCTCAACCATACACGCTTCACAAACAAAATTGTTGTCCTTGGTTACTTTCCTTGGAAATTTCGACCCGCTTCCTGGTCGTTACTTAGATTCTCAACTACATGGTGCTAATAATAATGGCCTGATAATGATAACTTCACAGTATGCTTTTGATGGGCTGTAAGAATGGGCTGTAAGAGACCCATGCAGGTGTCGGATCCCAAGTCTGAAAAGGGATTGTTTACACGATTTACTTGACTACAAGCCTTGATCATTATTTTTTGGTTTCTTTGTAGTTGATATTTGGTGACGATGAGTATTTGTATTTGTTTATTGGTGATGGTGGTAATAGAGAAGATCCCCTAAATGTAGCTCAAAATAAGTAAGTGCATCCCTACAAACATGATCTTCACAATGTCAAGTTTATTTACACAAAACTATAACGTTTACAGCCTTTCTGTCAAGGGCTCTGATATGCTGTATTCGATGAGGAACAATCCTATCAAATCGCTGCATTCATGACACAAGAAAGGTGACTGTTGCAGTCGAGGTATAAGTACGAAGATCGTAATAGCTTGACATTGACTAGTCTGCAATATCAGCATCCACTGAAAACGAACGTTAACTTGTCATCTACCAACCAACCTAGCGTGATATATTCGATTGTGGGGGTGAACATATACTGCAGAGCTCAGCTAACGACGCTTTCGGCTTCTTTTTCTTCAACGCACAGAGGCAAAGAATTTCCAAAGTAAATCATGGGTTTTTTATAATATTTATGATCGTTTTTTTTAGATCACATCTATTGGGAAAGGTGTTACGAATCAATATAGATACTGGTAGTGATCAAATACCATACACCATACCATCAGATAATCCTTTTGTTGGTCAGCCTGGAGCACGAGGGGAAATATATGCTTTGGGGGTTAGAAATATTTGGAGATGTGGTATAGATTTGGGAGACAGACAGACAGGTAGTTATATTAAAACTTTAATTACCTAAGGGGGTAGAATAATGAAAATATACTTTACGTTCTAATTTTCTGATGACGTATGATGAGGTTAATTTGTCAGTGCGAGTAGCACACGAGGTCCAGGTTTATTGTTCAATTCGAACACTATACGTATTTTCTTACATCACCTTCTTGTAGAGAAGAGGGGAAGTGGTAAGTGGAGGGGGGGAGGGTGTAATCTATTTACATTATTCCAATTATAACGATTTTGGTAAATAGAATTACTGGTTTTTAAGCTGATTTGGCTTTCAATATGCAAGAATTCAGAGTTAAATTATGTACATTTATACATTCCATTATTCAATCTAGGTGCTGGGAAAGGAAGAATAGTTTGTGGTGATGTGGGTCAAGATAAATTTGAAGAAATTGATTTAATCACGAAAGGTGCCAACTTTGGCTGGAATGTCTGGGAAGGTGGTGATTGTTTTAATGGGGAAACTGAGAAATGTAATAGTCTTGGTAAGTTTTGCAAACCTCTAAAGAAATATTGTTCTCTCCGATCTGACATTCAACTCTCCAAGACGTTACAGATTTGACTTTCAGCTCGTCACATTAATAGAGGTGATTGACAAATAAATAAATTCGTCACAAGGTCAAATGTTACAGATTTGACATGCGGATTTACATGTTACAGACTATACCAATGTCATTATGTCAGATGTTACATATCATCGACATTCAACTCTTCATAGTGTTTGAGCTGCCATAAAGTTTGGATGTGACTGACAATCGTCATATAGTGTTACACGTTACAGTCCTAACATTCAACTTGTTGCAAAACATTCAACTTGTTGCAATGTTAGATGTTATATGACTGACATTCACTCGGTGACATTGGTAGCTGACTGACATCACTAGCAGAAATTTTTGATGTAGCTCATTATAGAAATGACTCATTATATCGGATTGATAGAATGCTCAATGCTAATTGTCTACGAGAACATCATTAAACTGTGGATATTTTGTATTGATTACAGGTCTGGTAGATCAACCCATATATTATTACAACCATAGTTATGGGAAATCGGTGACAGGGGGTAACTTTTACCGAGGTTGTGAGAACCCTAATCTAGATGGATTGTATATTTATGGTGATTTTATGAGTGGGTGAGTCAACATAGCCCTCTGCTTTAAGATTTTTTTTACACCACCATACGCTCATAAGGCTCGTGTCGTGTCGAAATTCAGACGAAACATTTGCGGAAGATCTAACTGGCAAGCAGAAAGATCAAATTGGCAAATTGTCAGTAACTCCCCAACCCGTAAAAATATAGGCCAATTCCATTACTGCAACTGAACGCCATATACCATTGCCCTTCGGAAAGGCCTATATCAGTTGTCCCTTCAAACAATCAAGTCTGACAACGGGCCTGATGATGATGATGGTCACCTGACGTTCTATTTGTAACATTTTAGCGTAACGTTGTTAAACTTGCAGTATGGATAATTCAATGCCATTCCTCTTTTCAGTCGTTTGTTTGGATTGAAACAAGATAACGATACAAATGAATGGAAAAATAAAGAATTATTTATGTGCGGTCCAGATATCTGTAAAAATAATCTAGTTGGAAAGTATGATCAATATATCATTTCATTCGGAGAAGATGAAAATGGTAAGTAGCCTAATCTTAATAAATATTCATAAAATACATTTGATGGTCATCAACGAAAAGGTCATATTATACTTATAGTCTCGTTATATATTATTAACATATTAAATGTCCTTTTATTTGATGGCCTATAGACCAAATGTCAGAAATGTCACCAACCACCCCACCCCTCCTTTCCACCATTGGGTACCGACGATATCTTTGAAATCTTAACATCTTAAGATCTCTCTGCGACTTTTTATGTCAAATGAAATAAAAGTTCTTTACCCACTATATTATGTCGTGAACTTGCTAATGCCTATAAAGTTTAGTTTCATAATTTCAGCCGAAATGTATATGTTGGTAACAAAGAAAGCGGAAACTGATGGTTTTACAGGCAATATTTATAAAATTGTTGATCCTATTAGGTGAGTCACGTAAATATTTAGTGCTTATCAGTCATTCACCTTTGGTTAATGTCTTCATATGCTTTTGTTCATTCAAATTTGTCAAATTAGTGTATATATATTAAATCTAGACCAAGTACCCTAGAACCAATCATCCTGAAAACCTTACTTAATAAATAGATGACTGTATTAATCACGAGTTTTGTGCTTGTGTTCATTTTTTTTACACAGCAAAACGTATAAAAAAGCGGTACTTGCAAGTGTGTTGATTGGACGATTTGATCACGTGAATTCGATCCCTAATATGTTGCATACCTGATAAATGGAAACACTGTTGAAATATTTCATACCTTCTAACGTGTTGAAGAGATACTTAATACCAGTCGTAATTTAATTCAACGAGAGTGATTAATCATCAGCATATTATATATTTAAATTTGGAAATCCCAATTCGATGCATTTGAATCCAGCAACAGTTTACAGAAGAAGTTCATGTGTTCTGGTCACAGGTTACATGGGTCAAAAGAGAATGTAACCTAGCAAATAGAAGTCATATTGTTATTTTTAAGTTTTTATTGTTCCGTACGTTGCTTTTTCTGCTATAAGACCTAACATTTATTATCGTATTGTCTTTTCAAGACGTGGAAATCCAGATTCTTGCCCTCATGCTCATGTTGATAGACCTTCAAGACCTGTACCAACACGACAACCAGGTGGTCCACAAACTCCAAGTAAGTTGAGACTTTTATCAAAAACAAATACAGTAAATCGTTTTCTAAGCATAAATTTCTTTGATTGAAATTTTACGATTTTCATTTCTGGGCCATTTCCCTAAAACAATTTCAATACATCAAGAACACCAAGTTATCTGTTTCATAAAATTTCTATTTTTAGTTGACACATCTGATGGAAGCAGCGCAAGTCCAGAAATTATCATCAATATATATCTTCTAGCTTATTCTATAGCGTCCACATTATTGTGTTCATATTTAAGCATTCATTAACGTAACCCACCTGGGAATGGGTCTTTCATATCGCCTACATCTTATAATCAAGCTTCATCAGAGCCAATCAGCTTACACCAGGCTGCAGCATCAAAAATTTGAGCGTCCATAACTAAAATCGACCAGACATCAAGGTCTTATAAAGTATAAAGACAATATTTGCGTTTTCAGCTGAGGAAGCTGACAAAAAAGTAAAAGCCTGTCCATTACGTCACATTACATGGTGTGATATTAAATCGACCATCTGGATTCAAGGAACTGGTAGACGTGACGTTCAGGGTTTTGCTCTTAGAAAGAGGGTGAACCCATTACCTTGATATGTAAACCGTTGCTCATTCATATATCATTCACACCGTCTTTTTGTTATTCTTCAAGGGCTGCAATTGTACATGTGAAGAATTGTGTACGTATATAAAGGGGGCTCTAGTCGACGGGCGATTAACAGCATCGGATCTGTCGCGTTTTGACCGATCTCGCCAGCAACAGCTGAACATCCATAAATTGTTCTCTGATTCTGCCAGTCGCAAAGTCAACCGGAGTCCCCATTCAGGTCCATTAGAGGATCGAATTGGGTTTTTAAATTTGCGTTTGGTTATCTAAAACTACATTATTATAAAGGGAATGTTTTTCGAGATTTGATTTTAGAAACATGAAATTTTAAACCATTGGTCGTGGCTGATCAAAAAAAAAATAGTTGAAATAGAAATTAATTTCAGTTTTCTTTAGAAATATATTACTAATCTTGGTTTTTCCCTCTGAGTGTACAGCATGGTGCTTTGCATTCCTTATTCAAAGGTACAAGTTCGCCGTTTTTTTTTGACCAATCATACCTCAAAAACAGGATTTTTTTTTTAGCTAAGCTTTTTAGTAATAGTGTTTATAGTTCATCGTCAAAATTTGAGATTTAAGTCAATGTGTATCCAGAATTACCACGTTTGAAAGTTTAAAAGACGACTCGTCTTCTTGAGACTATGTCTTCTATAGAAAAAACATAATTATATAGAAAAAACATAATTATATAGAAAAAGAAAGTTTGATGCCTAGTATTAGGAATATTGAGGTATTTTTGAGGGAATTGTGCGATTTTCTTACATTTCCATTTCTGAAGATTATTTACATATATTCGAGACCCAAACTGACACGCCAAAAAATGGCGGAACTGTCCCTTTAATATTTTTGGAGCTATGCTATAAACAATCTAGTATTTTGATTGGTTATGGATGATGATCTAATAACGGTGATGGTAATATAATTGGGTTCTACTCTTGGTTATTCAGCCAAATAACAAACAATTAGCTTCAACGTAATTTGTATAGCCATGTTCATTAACTTTAAAGAGATAGGCTACAGTAACATTCAAATTTTCAGTCAGCCGTCTGTGGTACTTGCTATTTCAATAAAATGGATGCATTTAGTTTACAATATCTTTAACATAAATCTGTGTTATGTAAGTTCCATAGTTCAATAGTTAAAACTTTTGTGTACTTTTAGAAAAGGATAAATGTCTCAATGAAAGTACTGTCTTGAGAGCACTGGCTTGGGTCACAGAGCAGTAATATTTATATCACAATTAAATGCGATTATGATAGGTTGCTCTTTGTCAGTATTGAGGTACTTATAGTTGGTTGCAATTTACTAGCCTATAGATAGAGATCCATATCACTTTTCAGAATGCAAATACTATTTAAAAAAGATGCACCATAAAACGTAAGTGATGATTACAGTCTACTAAAAAGATCTGTTATTTTCAACTGAAACGGTCTATTTTACTGTGTCCTATGTAGGCTGTAAAAAACTGAAAGTCCGCATCAATTTCGAATGACGTCATTCAGACGGATTTTCATTCTGAAAGTAAATTTGAGTCTATAAGCCATACTATACATTGTTTGTTATTTGACTGGACGATGTGGTCATTAGTTTGTCTGTTTTATACTTATAAATCTCCTTCTTCTGTGATCTTTTCAAATTTATTTTAAACATTATTTTAATTCTTTGTAACTTTTTTATGTTTTTATTTGAGGATAACTGTATTTATGTCAATTATTTTTCCTTGAAAAAAAGGATATCTTTTATGCTTCTTGACAAATGAATACATGATAGTGGGTGCCATTTTATGCCAATTAATGAATAAAAGCCTTTTAGAAGAAAAGGGAAAGTGTTGCCAATTTTTTGTTTTGTTTTGACGAAATGTCCATTTTAAAGGGACAGATGCGCAATATTTCTTTTACCAATCTTACATTTCTAATATTTTTGAATACTATTTACAGTTACAGACTCAAATCAAACCCACCTATCAAAAGGGCACACCAGTCCCTTTAATAATTTATAACATTTTTTGCTTACTTACTGAACTACGCATGGTTCTTAATGGAAATAACACACCCGAACATAGTTCACAGCCATTTTAAATCTTTAAGACTTTTCAAAAAGGCTACAATTTTAACAAAGCCTTTAAATCACATTTAAATGTATTTCTAAGCCCTTAAGTGTTATTTCAAGGCCAAGTTGAAATGTTTGCGCCTTTTTTTTTTTAAATCGCCTTATTAAGTCGAAAACGAAATTCAAAATGGTTGTAAACTGCGTTCGTGTGTGTTATTTCCATGTAAGAACCATGATACGTAGTTTTACTAACGATAAATAATCACAATTTAAAAAGAGATATAATCGTAATTAATTGCTCATAGAGCTTTATTTCAATTTTCAGCTTTTAGAATTGAAACTGTAACTGCTGCAAAATATTCACTATTTTTTCCAACTCAAAAGAACCGGGCGTGAAGAAATATTGAAACCAAGTTGTGTTTCTTTATCAGCAACATATATTGAAATCAATTTGTGTTTCTTTATCAGTGACTTATATTGAAATCAAGCTGTGTTTCTTTATCAGCAACTTATCTTGAAATCAAGTTGTGTTTCTTTATCATAAACTTATATTTAAATCAAACTGTGCTTCTTTATCAATAACTTATATTGAAACGCGAGTTGTGTTTGTCAATAACTTTTTTAAAATCAAGTTGTTTCTTTATCAGTAACTTATATTAAAATCAAGTTGTGTTTCTTTATCAGTAACTTATATTGAAATCAAGCTGTTTCTTTATCAGCAAATTATATTGAACCAACCGGTGTTTCTTTGTCAGCAACTTATATTGAAATCAAGTTGTGTTTCTTTATCAGCAACTTATATTGAAATCGGGTTGTGTTTCTTTATCAGTAACGTATATTGAAACTAAATTGTGTTTCTTTATCAACAACTTATATTGAAATCAAGTTGTGTTTCTTTGGTAACTTATATTGAAATCAAGCTGTGTTTCTTTATCAGTAACGTATATATTGAAACTAAATTGTGTTTCTTTATTAACAACTTATATTGAAATCAAGTTGTGTTTCTTTATCATAACTTATATATTGAAACTAAATTGTGTTTTTTACCTGCACAAAATAAATAGGCTCAATTCATGATATTTCCTTTTTATCTCTAAATATCTATATTTGTCAGTAACTTATATTGGAATTAAGTTGTAGTTCTTTATCAGTAACTGCAGATATTAAAATAAATTGTGTTTCTTTATCAGTAACATATTTTGAAATCAAGTTGTGCTTCTTACCTGCATAGATTAAAAAGGCACAATTCATGATATTTCTTTTTTTTATCTCTAGAAGAGTTTTTCTTCATCGTGTATATAATATCCAATTTTCCAACGATAGACCAAAATATTCAAAAATTTATTGGTGTTTATGGCTTTAAAAACCTGGCATTTTGAATTTTAAAGGCATTGTATGTCATATGATCATATGTATATCCAGTTTTGCTTTTTAATTGTAAATACAAGAGTCTTGGGTTGCGATAACAAGAAAACTCTAGTGAATCTTCCAATGGTATATCTAATAATTCTCGTACCGCGGCTGTTATAATCTGAAAAGACAAGAAGCAGTTCATTTCATTATTTTTGCAATGCGTTAAACTACAACTTAAGATATGTCGTCTTTCCTAGGATTATTTAATCATAGGATCTGAAACATTTCAGAATCATTAGATTCGACCAATCAAATACTAGGCCTATATTCAGAAGAAACATTATTCCACCTTATCTTCCAACATTTATTAGAAATTTAGATGTGTTTTCAATTTGTATTTCATTCTGAAGAGAAAGGAGGTATACCTCTAGAAGAGGCTCAAGACACAGCTGTTTTAGCTCTGCAGTCGATTAACAAGTACTAGGCCTACATGAGTCCACGTCGAAGAGTTCTTGCACCATCTATGCCATAATTATTATGATCTATTCTGAACTACATACAAAATGGTCTCTGTGGATTTTTCAAACGTCTACCTTGCTCAGAAGAACGTACAAAGCATACCGGTACCTTGATGTGTGTAAAATCGCTGACACCCATATTGGGCAATGCTGACGACGTTACAGTAATCAACTTTTTTCCATCTATGAAATTGTTGAGAAAACAATCCTGAAAAATGAAAACTGCTTAAACTATAAGCCTACAGTTAAAGTCAATAAAGTTAAAGTTAAGATGTAAGAGTGGAAATTTTTAAGGTGGATAGGCCTATCCTAATGAAATTCTCTTACAGCAGTATACTCTATATAGCCATAATCTATACCTCTTTTAGGGCCCAGGATGAAACATCAAAATAGTTAGCCTATCCAATATGATATGATGGCGACAGATTGTATGCGAGATGAAAGCAATAAAAGGCTTAGCCTCTTTCGAATCATGGTTGTAGATAGAGCGAATCAGTATATTATGTAGTGGATAGGAATTAGGATAAACATAATTGTATATGTAAATTGAGTGGAGTGGAGTGGAGGGGCAGTTCTTAGACTTGGCACCTGAAACCAACCCCTAAAAAACACCACTGATCCTTGATAATATATACCCGCTCTCGTCGTCCAGACACCTACCCTATATTTTGAAAATCCCAATTCCTCAATCCAATCAGCTACCTCCTCACAACTCCAATATAAACAATCTGGAATATTCGCTTTACGATCAGCTTTAGCTACATTAGTGTTCATCCTCTCTTGATTAACCTGTATCGAATGGAAACTAAGATGACGTCAAGATTAATTAACTGTGGACACAATGACGAGGAGCTATCTAGAGTTACTTCCCATCTATTACTAAGTTCGGACCAACTATCTAAACTAAATTTACTCAAAATTGCATTGATGTTCGTTGATAAATTTGGTTGGTAGGCTACCAGTGCCCAAAATATGTTGCAGGCGACCAAGATAAGACAGTAGGACCTAACACTGTACCATGCACAAGACAGCTTCGTTCTTTCTTCTTCGACCCTTAGACTAAACGAGGTCTGGAATATTTAGTTTCCAATCATCTATTAAGAGTTATCTACTGATTTAAAATGGAGTCTGAATGATAGCCTACTGATTGGTGATTGGTCTAATCATGCGGCACAATCAGAGCCATAGAAAAAAAAATGGACAAAAATCATCCAATTTGAGAAGAAAAAAATAGATTTGGACTTAAATTTTTTTGGGTTGTTTTGTTAAGTGTTTGTTTACCCTTTTCCAAAATTCTGTCAATCATTAGACCTCAAATGTAAGATTTATAAGCTTATAAGTTATATACTGTGACTGGTTGAAAGTCCACTTCTGTTCCAGCTTGCCCGAAAAGTCCCAATTGACTTGGTCATGAACCAGTCCAGTGCTTCTGCTTCAGGCTGAAATTTCAATGGGTGACTTTTCGCAAACAAAAGCTTATAAAATTTGGAGATAAATGGAGACTGGAGAGGGGAGGGGTTCTAAACTCTGACGGTGCTTGGAGGGAGAAATCAGGGGAGAAGAAGGGGAGGGCGTAACTCCACTATAGCCCAGAATTATTATTCCAGTAGTAGTAGATATATTTTTCATAGATGATAATTACGTAAATTAATGGATATACATGTACACAGAGCCGTATATAGAGAGTCTGGCCAACTTGTGATCTCGCCGCGCTGAACCATGATTGGCGCAGAGCGGTCACGTGATTGAAGGCCGCCATATTGTTACCCTTCCCGCGACGTTTAGGCGTAGGAGCCTGGGTATTCTTTACGTTGTTTAAGCCTTATTCCTGGTCATGTCTGGCAACAGAATGCCTCGATGTGTGGCATAGAAATGCTCTGTCAAATCTGGAGAAGGTATAGTGATGCACAGGTTCCCTAAGGATAAAAGGAGACGCAGAGAATGGGAAGTAAAGGTCAAACGATCCGACTGGACTCCCCACGACAACTCTTTTCTATGCGATGTAAGTACATTCGATAATTTCAGGGGTTTTGCAAATTGTGTTATGTTCAGGTCTAAAAACTGGATATAATAGATATGGAAACTTTGTGAGAGGGTTTCTTTCCACGCACTGGCTATCTAAGCCTAGGCCTAGACGAGGAGCATGCACCATGCCCATGGCTTCTGAGACACTGTCATTGTCAACAACATTTCTGATAGGCCTACACTATTCGATCAATTTATGTTTTTCTATAAATGTGAAATTCTAAGACTATTTACTTATTTAGTATTTAGTATTATTTACTTCCAATCACCAAAACAAACAGTATAATTTAAAGGTGTGCACCATATTGGTGCTTGTACGGTGAGGCAAGGGGCCATGGCTCCTAATCCTAATATTTGTGCTGGTCCTGATTTTCAATTTTCTTTTCAGTCAAAGAGAAACAGATCGCCAGGACAACAGCCGACAGCTGAAGCAAAAAGGTTTCAAAGCTGAAATGATGATTATTGAGTGATGTGATATAACTTTCATGCCTTCATGACATAAAATAAATTGTGCTGATTGAAACTGAATAATGAGCCTTTTTCTGTTCAGGCCCACAAGTAAAAGAGACAGGGGTGGGGAGTGGGGTGGGGCGGCGCTTCCTTGAATTATTTTCGCCCCCCCCCCTCCCCTCCACTGCAAAATTCAAACAAGTTCTCAATCGAAGCTGAAATCAGTCTCTATCAGCCATTTCAGCCTCCGTGCAAATGCATTCGCCCCCCTTGGCACATTGGTCTGGTTACGGGCCTGTTTCTGTTGATAACGATTTATAGTGCACACCTTGCTTTGAGCAATTTTCATGATGACTAAATTTCTTCGACAAAGATGGAGTGCAATCCCTTATACTAACTTCACTATATTCTAAAGCTTTATGTAACGAAAATCATCGGTTATAGTTTATGCACCGTTTTGACAGTCGTCAGGCACACGGGCCTATTGATCAAAAAACAATATGAATTATATTATACATTATATTACTTATAAATATGTTGCATAAACTATAACTAGTGATTAGCCTATTGTTCCATATAGCTGTAGAATATACAGCTAGGCCCTAGCTATTTTAATATGGAAGATTACAGGTTTAATATTTCGGTGGTTAATATTTGGAAAGTGCTAAAATTCAAAATTTGTCTTCTTTTTGTGTTTTTGTATAGACATACCAAATTTTATCAAAATCGGTTAAAAACTGTAAATTCTAGAGTGTTTACGAGGGATAACGTCGGCCGCCTTGTAGCTAAGAGAGGGTAACAAGATGGCGCCTTGTGACGTAGTTGGCCAGACTCACTCTATATACGGCTCTGCATGTACATAGTCTTATTTAGAGATTCCATTCTTTAGTCATAGCACCAATTGATGAATATACACACTTGTTAATAAAAGTTTAAAGAATTTAAATTGTATGTCCATTGGGGGAGATAGTATTCCTTTAAACATAATTTTGAAGCAGTTGTGTTCTGTGTGTTAAGACCACATTGAACTTTTTCACGAGGAATGGGCGAAAACTCGTTTACTTTTACTCGCCAATTCGGAGTTATCCATACAATGTTCAGGAATGTCGCTGTAGTAGCGGGAGGCGAGAGATCAAAACAATCCAATCCCATTTATTATGTGACCTTTTAAACATGTTAGTGGATGAGTCAAACCGGCGTTGATTTGATTGTAAGGTTTAGACAGTGGTTTAAGGGCCTAGCCTGTTGATGAATTACAAGTGAACCAAATTAATATAGGCCTATCATTAAACAGTCTGAGTCCGCTCAGCACAAGTGGCTCATCGTCAAGCCAAGAAACAACCCCGACTTATTGAGTCAAGTCAAAGAGTACACTAACACAACTTAGGAGAGGAAGGTGACTGACAGTAGCAGTGCATGGAGTAGCACAAATTGTTGTAAATGTGATTGTTAAACAAATATCTTGAAGATTGAAATGACTGTTTGGAAAATCATTCTACCTTGCCTTACATTTTGAAGTAGACTGAGGCCATAGGCTTTGAGTTTGATATTAATACAGCCATTTTACAGGGTTAGTTTACTTTAGCACAGTGACCTGTCACTATTTAAAGGATTCCAGGTAGTCCATTCTAGACTAGTCATAATGGCATTAGCTGTATCACCTCCGCCGCGACAAAATAACTCAGACTCAAAATGCGAAAAGTGTTGGCATGTGTTTGATGTGATTCAAAAGTACTTTGTGGAAATAGCTTTATTTTTCTTTTTTCTGTCAAGGCATATGACACTGCCTTTATTCCAGGAATATGTTACCAATGAAATATATTTAAAACATAATGTTAAGTTCCTAGCCCAAGACTATTACAGCTCTGCCAATTTAAGTGTGTCAACAAGAGAGGCAGAACATGACAGTGCCTTGTCTATACTGGGTTTACAGATTGCTGAAGGTCTGCCAGCTGTAATAACTGTGGTAATACTTGGAGCTGTCAGTGATAGAACTGGACGAAGAAGAATAATGTTATGGCTGCCATGTTTAGGAAGTGTGTTATATTGTCTAATCTATGTTCTTATCATGTATACTGGCTACAACATCGATGGTTTGTTCATGGCTTCGGCATTCCGAGGCCTGAGTGGCAGTATGACAGCATTTTTAGCTGGAGCCACATACTTTGGAATCAACTCAGTCAAACCTCAAGAACGAGTTGCCAGATTGTCTATTCAAGAATTTCTAAATGGTGGGGCTTATGCTTTGGCAAATATAATGGTTGGCTTTTGGGTAAAAGACAGTGGATTCTTGGAGCCATATTGGTTTGCCCTTATCTGTGCTCTGATTTCATTCTTAATTTGCTATTTCCTCATTCAAGAACTGCCAGTGGAAAGAGAATCTCCAAATCGACGAAGAAATACTGGAAATCTACTCAAAGACACATTTGGTCCAATAGTTAAGTATTTCAGATGTGGGCAAGATAAATCATTGATCAAAATTTGGCTGGCTACACTGGCTTTTCAAACCTACGCACTGGTTCATATTGGGCAAGAGAATACAATTGTTATGTACTTAAGTGGTCAGACATATCTTCACAAGACAAAATACGATATGTCAGGAATATCTGTATCAATTGGGGTGTTTTTATCAGTTATTATGGTAGTCGCAGGTCTGGCCACAGCTTTAACTCCTGCAGTATTTAAAAAGTTCTTATCTGAAAGTAGTATTGTAATGGTTGGATTAACATCAAAGGCTTTGGGAACTTTATGGATTGCTCTGATACGTAATGAAACAGCACTATATTTTGGTGAGTATTGTATTATTTTATTTCACTCACAAAATGATAAATTGAGATCAGGTCAAGATCCAAGAGCTGATTTTTACAACCAATAATGGTCATCATGATTTTCTTGTCAGTGATGCAGGTCAGAGGGGCTGACATGGATGGGGCAATAAACTGAGGCCCTTGTGCTTCTTGTTAACTATTTTTTTGACGGTTAGAAATCATAAAAGATTACCCCACGTATTCTCGAAACGATCTTAGCGCTCGGATGTACTAGAATCAATGTTAGAAGATAAGAACCTAGGACATCCTAGTGCTAAGATCGTTTCAAGAATAAGCTTATATGGCCCGGATTTCAAATAATTCAGTTGCAAAGTTTTCAGACCAAAGCTAATGCTTGGTACATTTTAACATGAAAAACAAAGTGAACATATTAACTTCACAGAGCCAAAGAAATAAGTTTTTCTTCTGGTACCAGATGCATTAAATGTGTTTAATTTGTGCACATCAATGCCTCTAGATAGTTTGCTTTGGAAATTGGGATTGTCAGTGGCAAGGTTTTCTGGCTTTCAAAATTGTGAAGGTTATGTGTACATTTCATGCCAGAAAGTAATTATGTTTCAAATTGCCATCACTATACTCCAGAAACAATGTTTTAAAGGTGGTATGTAATTGACAATTCCAAGAAATTTTGAGATTAGATTGATTTCTGTGTTTTTCTGCTTATTCTAGGTCAGTGGTTGTAAATAATTGATTTGACTGTAAGCTTACATGTTTAGAAAATCAATCAGAGAGGAAACATTAAAGTCAAGATGATAAACATTTTCTCAATTATTTAGGAAGATTTTCTTAAATTTTCCAACTCATCATTGATATTGTTTTCAATTTGCATAAAAAATATTTCTGCTGTTTTAATCCTTTGAACACTGAGTGAATAACATATACCAGTACGCTGAACTGCAGTTCAGCGTACTGGTATATGCTAGTGTTGAAAGAGTTCATGTCATTGGTAGCTTCAGATTATCTGTGAAAACTTTTGTTTATTGCTTGGAATATCAATTTTGAAACTGAGTCATTGAGAATATGAAATCCAAGGATTAAAGGTCTATAATTGTCTATAAAAAGATTTCATTCATTTTTTCACATTAGTTGCTGGCATGTAATGATAAACTTTTCATCTGAGTCTTGCAAACTGTTTCTGTGGGTACTAGGTCATTCCTGTCTATGAAGGACTAGCCTGTCATGGCTATTGCAATTCATTTCAGGTCTAATCCCTTGCTCCTTTTGACTCATAAATGGATTGTAATTTGAATAGGTGAGCCTTGATTTCTCTTGAAAGAGTGTTATCTAATTTGTAGCCATTTTTGTCTTCAATCAAAAAATCCAATAGGATGAATAAAAAATGTTATTTGAGGAATTGAATACATATTTGCTGACTGAGAAAGTAGATTTAGTAATTAAGCTTTATGGAAAGAATTGCTCTTTCTGTGCAAACATAATTCAAACGCTTTTAGATAACAATAAAATTTCTCAAAATCAAATGTGAAAAAATCTCAGTACTGGTAGTGTAAAAAATTGAATTTTGTTTTTATTTGGGATAAGCTTATTATATTACCGGTAATTTAACCTATGTTTTTAACAATCTTATATTACCATGATAACTCTTTTATAGAAGGTTTTATTACCATTTTAATAATGTCACAATATTCAAATAAGGTTTAAACAAATACTCTATATCTATTACTCATCTTAATGTTACTTTATCTGGCGTGACAACTTGAGTGGTTTTGTTTGAAATTTCAACATTTCAATGTAAATATACAATCACCAGAAAGATTTGAATTATCACTTGATGCATAATTTAAAAATAGCCAACTCAGGTGCTGCATGATATCATCAGTAGAAAGGGCATCTCTAGGATTGTTAATTCTTGTTTTCACCAAAACAAACATATCTAAAATTGGGTGGACATATTGGTAAAAAGTTCAAAAATACAAATTAAAGAAAAGGACATTTTCTATTTAAGCAAAGTTACATACATATAATCTGATATTTTGTAATTTTGCTTTAAAAGAGACTATTATTGGCAATACAATCAGGGTCTTTTTTTTTTTTGTTCTAAAGCTGTAAAGATAATCAAGTGATTTCTTATACCAGAGATCAAGGTACTATTTTGATATTTGACAGGAATAGTGGTTAGTTTTGTCTGGAAACATCATGTGTTTTAATAACATTTTTTGTTATTCATATTGCCAGCCTTGGCCTAATTATAGCTCTAGTATAATAAAGTATATGAATTTTTTTCTTTTGCCTTGGGGTCTTCCTGTGTTAGTTGACTATTTTTTCTTAACAAATTTAGTAATGACAAAAAATAAGACAGTATACATTTAACACTATGATATAAAAGTGGAGTAATGCTTGTATTTATTTGGTATATATTGAAAAATTAAATGGTATAGTGACATCTAATTGTTATGATGAAAAAGATCCTCAATGAGTTCTATGCTTGCTCTCTAACCTGAAGGTCCAGGGTTTAATCCCAGGATTTTTCAACATGGTTTCTCGTGGTCATTGATGCAGGTCGGAGAGACTGATATTGATGTAAAGCATCTAAGAAGTCAGATGGGACAATGAACAGACTGGCTGTCAACGATAAAGACACTTTGACAGTTAAAAATGTGGACTCATGCCCCTGTCCTGGCAAAATTCACTCATTGCACACTGCATGGCGCTGCCTGTTTTCATTTGCCCATAGGTGCAGAAGAATAGAATTGTAAACTTATATTGTGATTAAATAATATTGTTTATAGATATATATGAGTTCAAGTTAAATTAATATAAGGTAGAAATTGTGAAGCAAGTTAGGCCAAGTAGCTAATAAATTATAAAAGATTATTCAGGTAGAATTGTTTTATGTTGAAGATCATAGCTGACCTAATTTGTTTTCCTGTTGTTTGTCATAATGTTAAACCTTTTCCTATCTGTCTAGATGTCAAGATACCCTGATTAAAACATTTGCTTTATAATACTCTCTGGTAAAGGAAGTAGGGCTTTTATACAAGAGCTCAGACCGAATTATTTTCTTTGTACACATCAGTATCATTTTCTATGTGGTTTTTCAATATTTATAATTCCAGTACAGATTGTGATCTCAGTCTATTCATGGTCCAATAGCATAAGCTTACTTATTAATTTGTGGTATTTATTTGCACAATGCAAAGTGTTCAAATTAAGGAGTAACCTTATCATTTGGCAACTATTTCCATCTATTTTTCTATTGAATATTTTATGAAGCCTATAAGTTAAAGTGGAAGTATGTATCAGCTTAGAAATAACAAGAAATGGGTTCAAGTTTCTCCTTTTGTACTCAACTTTATCAGTTTTTGATAACATTACAAAGTCATTGATTGTTTGATTGTAATTTCTTTGAAAACGGTCCAATTTGAAAAAAATTCACCATGACATGTATTGATAACTCTGCTTTTAGGTAATTGCAAAATAAGATTCTGCATTGTTAATGTGCACACTAACAAATTGTAAAAAGTACAAAAATATCTGTTGGTTTTAATCTGTTCAGAGTCAGAATAGACCCAAATTCTACTTTTCACACTCCATAAATTGATATGTCAACCTTAACAGAAAATTAAAACGTTTTATTGACTCACACTTTTGATGAATTATACTATAATTTATCTGAATGTCAAAAAAGGTTCTAGATTGAACTAACTAATGTAATGTCATTGAAAACTCTATTCATCAAAATTGAAAGAGCCTTTTACATTTGACATGCTTTGAATAATATGATAAATTCAATAAGTTTCAATCTTATTTTTTGATAAAATACATCTTTTGTTATGGTTATGGTTGAATAAGTATTAAATTAAAATTTGGTCTTATTTGAATAAATACTAAATTGAGTCTTTACTTTTGAATAGGCTTGCCAATAATTTGAAATTGGGTGCTAATATTTGAATACTTTTTTAAATTTTGTCTTAGTTTGAAATTCAAATTTAAATATGAAATTGAATCTTGTTAAACGGAAGTTTGTATATGCTGCAATCTCATTGGATTGTATGCTAGCAAATACAGCCAATCAGAACCTTCGACAGACAGTCTGTAAACAATAAGACATAATGTTTATAGTTTGATTGGTTGTATTTGCTAGCGTACAATCAAATTGCCGCATTCCATGATACAAGAAAAGAGAAAAATGAAGTCAAGGTATTAGACATAGTTTTTCACTGTTTAATTAGATCAACTTTATTGTAATTGTGTATTATACAGTCTTTAAGTAGCAAGTAACCAAGAAAAGTTTTGTGGTTGATATTTATGTAAAATGTTAATATATTGTCTAATTTCAGCTATATTACTGTTAGCATTTGAGTTATTACCATTTCCTATGTTACGTTCTATAGTTTCAAGAGACATAGCTCCAGCAGACCAAGGTAAAGTTCCATCATTCTATATTTTCTTCTTTATGTTCACATTGAAATTTGTGCAAAGTTGCCTTTATTTAGCTAAATATACATCTAACTGTTCTTGTGAGAGCATTAGTGTGATAAGATCTGGTTGCAACTGATACTTTAGTGAATTGAGAAAAGTTGATGTTTCTTAGCTGCCATGAAATTTGCTGCACACAGTTGCCACTTCTGTTCCTCTGTGGCATCAATTTTAAACTTTCTGATATTGGACATTTGAGCTTTTAAGCAAAGGCTTTAAGATTTTATTTTATTAACAAAGTATCAAGTAATAACATAAAATACAAGGGAATATATTATGCTATAACACATAAACAAAGTATCAAGTTATAGCATAAAATACAAGGGAATATATTATGCTATAACACATAAACAAAGTACCAAGTTATAGCATAAAATACAAGGGAATATATTATGGTATTACACACAAACAAAGTACCAAGTTATAGCATAAAATACAAGGGAATATATTATGGTATTACACACAAACAAACTACCAAGTTATAGCATAAAATACAAGGGAATATATTATGGTATTACACACAAACAAACTACCAAGTTATTTATACAGATTTGTTGAATATTTTTCAGGTTCTCTATTTGCACTGATGCATTGTGGAGAGAGTATAATATTTTTTCTGGGTCCGTTGATGTTTATGGCTATATTTGCTAATACTCTACATTATTATAAAGCTTTAGTATTGATTGTATCAATCATAATGCTAATTTTACCTTTTTGTTTCACACTGTAAGTATTTAACAATTTATATTCTGTAAATATTCACTCAGAATGACAAGTTATAATTGGTATCTTTTATTATGAAACATGGTCTACTTCTTGATAAATTTGTATTAAGCAAGTATCAGTAGTAGCACTGTATTTTTGCATGTTTTTAGCCTAAAAAGGGCGAACTCAGGGTGAGCATGTTGAACAGTGACGATGATTCTTTAAATTTTCACCAAGAGGTTCCACAGTCTAAATTGATAGTCCTTTTAAAAATTGCCTATGAAAACTATTAAATATTATATTTAGACAATTTCATGTTGCGATCAGAGTAAGCCTTATGTATTTACATAAGTTATTGCTAATGATACAGTGGGGTAACCTAGGCATATACAACACCGAATTTCGTCAACTCGGCAACGGCGGCAGAATGCGTCACCTATTTTCCTGTACAATGTTTGATCTATAAATAAGTTGATAAAAACACGTTGTATGGATACCGGGTGGTATAATTAACTTCTCTTAGTATTTATCTTTAATATCAACTAGTGACAATTCCTTCAAAGAACCATGATTTAAAAAAAAAATAGTGACTTACAAAATAAGATACGTAGCGTGATTTATTGCTAAAAGTCATTGAAACAACACAAGAATTGTGTTCCATAGAATTTTTCTGCTGACACTGAATCCGCTAGTTGATCACGTGCCTTCATTTGTTGGACTACATTCTAGCAGACGACACTTGGGATTCCAATTACAGCTTGGGATTATAAAGAAATTCGGCCGATAAAAAATGGTGTCGTTTGGTAATAACTGAAACCCGCCATTTTGTATTTGTCAAAGTATACATTAATGCATTTTATCTTACTTGAAACTACTGGATTCATCCTACTAGCTGACATTGTAGAGATAACCCATGTTTATCAAAACAAGCAAATGTGGGGGTCACTCGAGGTCGTACATGTAAATTATTAATCATTTCCGGAGATGCACTGTAATGTCATTATCTGAGTCATCCCCGAATATAATGTGGAATAATAATCTGTATTGTAACTGGTCTAAGAATAGTGATTGGCTAAAATGAACCTGTTTTATAGAGCAGCTCTATTTTATGTTGGTATAAGATGCATTCTGTTATTGTCCTTACTTCTTTTGGCTGATGTCATCTAAATTCTCTATTTAAGGTGTCTGAAGTTTTTTACCTTTAAGAAGCCAGAAGATTATGAACGTATGGAAGAACCAGAGGTAACAAATTCAACAGAAGTCAACCGTGAACCATCAGAACTGTCAACACTAGCTTCAGAACCAATCTCATTTATACAATTAAGTACAAATACTTAAACTTACATATACTTAAATATTAGAAATAGATTGTTTAGTATCAAATGGATGAGTTCATTTTTATGAAAAATTTTGTCAAATGAACTGAGCCAAATAGTATACCAAATTAATATTTTAGCCAGAAAGTGTAAAGAGTATTGATCTTCAAAACTTAAATATAAAAATATCTATAAATATTGCTTGCTTAGCCATGTTTTAACATTGATACCTTTTAAAGGGAAATGATGTCTGAATATTAGCTTTACCAGTTGATAGAGCTTATTTTCAGCAATTTGTCACTTGTGAAAATCCTGTTGCATCTCAGTTAAACAGCAGAAGAGAGACAGTCTAGGTTTTAGGCTGATATCACTCTTACATTCATCAGTTATAAACTCCACATCTGAAATTGATCTCTATCAACTGATGAAGCATGGTAGCTTCTTAAGGTGATTGTCGTACACTGTAATATATTATGAAAATTAGTTTGTGTTCAAGAAGCTTGATTTGATTGTTGCATCAAATAGCAGCTGATTAATTAAGCAAAGAAAAGCTAGTCAATTTTCCGTAGACAAGGGAAAATTACAATTGCAATGTAATGTTTGATATAGTTGGTGGCACTATATGTTATGTCTGATTGATAAATAATTTTCTATTATGTGTATATATATGCATACAAATGTATGCTGATATGTAAGAATATATTATAGACTCAGGTCTTATTCTCAAAAATTTAACTAAGATCAAATCCAGATTTTAAAAAATAATGAAATCTGATTGGATTATAAAACTGATAATAAAATCAATTTTAGTTATTGACCAATCAGATAACTAGAACACTAAAATTCACTTTAGTTAAGTTTTTGAGAATAAGGCCCTCCAGAGCTATAGCATTAGTATTTTAGAATTTTTACTGCCGTATTGAACTGAGTAATGTATTTATTTGTGTTATGCTTGTAGTATTGAGCTCAGTTGTTTTAGACTATGTTTTATAAAGTATTTACTATGTGCTTTGATAATCATAATTATATTAATATGATATATTAAAATAAACCTATATAGTCAAGAAAAGATATTTGTGTAAATCAAACTTGTATCAAAATATATACTCAAGAAGATTACTTTATTTTGATGTATAAACATGTTGGCTTATTTAATTTCAATTAATATCTAATATCTAAAAAACATGTTAATAGTTTATATATGCACAAATATCTTTGATAAACTACACATCCTAATCTTGTGAAAACCATAATTTGGGCAGGAATAGATATGAGTTGCAATATTGAATTTGAGAATTCTTGAAATCGTATGAATCTCATTTTAACTATTAAGCATATGTTAAAATGTTCGATTGTGGATAAATTTGAATCTTTATTTGAATTTTCATGTTTATTTCCTATTTGTTGAGAATATTATTTTGGATTATTCCCCTTTAATGACAAACTCAAATAACAGAGCTGTGATTAATATTTGAGTGCTTAATTTTATATAATAATAAATTATATTGATGTGTTGTGAATTTATAGAATATTTATTTATATATTTGTAATAATTTTGTTTGAATATCATTTCTTTATTGCATAATAAACCTATATCTCACAACCATTCCCAATCTGAAAGAAATACAGCTTTAGAAAGTTATCACTGGTATTTTGCAGTTACTCTGAAAACTCATTACAAGGTGGATCTTAAAGGTCATTCTTTAAATGAAGTTCAGTTGATCTTTGACCTTAAATGCACTTAAAATTGATAGATATCTCAGAATTCTTCTGAGAAAGCTTTTGGAGACAATAGATTTTGATTGGTTGTCTGGGAACTCGTCCTTACTTATAAATGTCTTAAGATCATCTTGAGATCAGTTGAGTATATAGCAGAAGAAAATTCATTAAGAAATATCTAAAGCTGTATTTAATCAAATTGAATCATTCCTAAATTTTTCACCACATCTTGTCAAAGTTTTTTTTATCATAATTTTGATATTCTAAGATCTTATAAAGAATACTGACCTATCCTTCACTCAGTTCCCTGCTTTACATCTTAAATCACCTAACAATCTGATTTGTTATTTTCATGTTTTTTCCACAGGTAACTTAACTTGTCATCTGTGATCTGACAAGATTCTTTTTCAAAACGTTTTCTGTTAAATTTGAAAATGAATGACAAGTACCAATCAAAACACTGTTGAAAGTGATTAGATAGTACAAGTAAATGTGTAGCAATTAATATCCCACAAATCCTCACATTATGATTTATGGAACAGAGTTTTTCATTGGTTGAAAATTAGATGACTCAGAACAGGAGTCACTTGTAGAAAAAAAAAACATGAAATGAAACATCCAGGTCACGATTTCTCAAAAGTCTCTTTGTAATGTTCATATTTAGAACAAAATTAACTCAATACATTTAAAAGGAACCTATAGATAATAAATAAAAGAGACTTGATTTGTATATATGAAAGTTAAAATCTTATAAATTTTCAGATTACTCAAGGCTTTGATCTTTATGAGTACAGGAAATGTATCTTTTTGTATATTTCAAAATACATCTGAATCAGACAATACTTTGACATATGTATATTAAGAAATAGCTAAATTTCGCTTTGAAAACTTCAAAAATGTTTTTAGTTTGTAAATATTCTGTCAATGTTCAAAGGTTAGTTTTTAACTAGCAAATTGTACATAATATATAGTTATATGTGTTGTCTTTATAGGAGTTGTCTGTAATTGTGTGTGTAATTTTGGTCACATTTGTTTTAATGTTTGAACATTTGTATTTCTATGTAGACATAGGTCAAATGTCAAGTTTTTGGCAGAGGTTAAAGAGTTCATAGTATATAATATGTAAAGTTGACATGCAGACTTAAAGTTGACCTACTAACTCTTTCACCTAATTAATAAGTATTATATAAGAATATTGATAGATAAAACTGTTTGATTTTTGGATTTAGGTAACCTAACTTTACTATCAGTTGCTAAAGCAGAAAATGATAGGACTTAAAGGGGAAGTGTGTGTAACTTGATAACAAAGGCAATTTTTCTGCCAGTGTGAAACAATATGACTGATAAAGTTGTAAAGTCAATTTGGTTTCGCCATTAATGTCATTCAATTTTTTTTCAATATGATACTTTATTTCTAACTTATCATTACAACTATAGTGTATTTATTTCAAGATATTCCATGTCAATTGATGTATACTGTCACTTTAAATACCAAATAAGATAAGATAAAATATAGTCATTACAAATACCAAAATCATTCATATTCTGGTCCTTGACTTTGTCCTGACTAGTACTAGTCTCTCCATGGATATAGTCCAATAACTGTGGGTAAATCTACATTTTTACATCAGTCATCCCCAGCCCACCAATTTTTATATTATAATCAAAAGAATAACGCTCCATTAAATAAAAGGGATATAAATAAATTTTTGTTTAACAAGCAGATCCACCTCGATTTCAGTTAACAGTTTTCAGAATTGATATCTCTGGACAGTGCAGTACCGGTACTTATATAAATTAGAAAAAAGTTAATTATATGCTGAAAGTAACAAGATAAATTTACAATGTACCCTTTCAATTAATTGTAAGAGTACCAGATGCCGAAGTTTAATTCTAAGACTGCTATGGATAGCTGAAATTGAGCTGTATCCTTATAGATGTTGAGATGTCAAATCAGATAGACCATTTGGAATTGAAATGCTCAAGGAATGTTTTTAAGGCTTGTGAAGCTTGAATAAATGAGATTAGATCATTTGTTATGCAAAATTTAGCTCATTTGATATCCTATTTTATAGGAAAGATAGAAATAGTTTAGTAGAAGTTTTATCACATTATAGCATTGAAGTGTTTATGGCTGTTAGAGATTCTATATATTGTGTATATGCATCTGTATGCTTTTATTATATCAAATGTGTGTTTGCATTTTAATTATAGATATATACTTTTGATTATCATTTTGAACCTTTATGGAATGAATACAAATTTTAAGTTTATGAATTTAAGCTAGCCATTATTAGTAATGGGTCATTTATTTTTTATATCATTGAAAATGAAGAATAATATTTCTTATATAATGTCATAATATTATATTGATTTGCTCATATTTTATAATTTATATACCATAATATTTTATATCCCAAACAGGCCTAATTTGATTTTTATTTTCACAAATCGTTTCTTCCAAATGTGATACTCAAGAAGACATTTAAATTATATTACAGGGGGGATTGACATCTAAATTTACTTCACCAGCTAATAACAGAGCTTTCAGCTTTCAGCTTTCAGATCCTTTTACAATTCAACAAAATTAAACTGTGAGATTTTAAGACATTCTTTAATTCAATTTTATGGGAAGGATCATTATTCTGAATTTTTGCAGCGAAAATTAAGCTTTATCAGCTGGTCATGAAAATATTAGGATGGTTATTGATACCCCCATTACTATGGTTTATTTGGTGCATTTTATAATCAATAATGAATAATAGTCATGCATAATGTTATTTATAATGACTGCCTCATATAATGATATCAGTATTTATGATTAATGAAATATTTTACTTATTACCAGTATAAATATAACATAATGCCTATGATACACATACTGAAAGTAATTGGGTGATACCTTGTTCATTTAAATTTGCGGTCTTTACCAGCTGATGCTGATACAACTAAATTCTTGCTATCTGTATCACTTTACAGAATTAATATTTGAGGTTACATTCCCAAACAATTAAATAAACAAATTTAGCTTGTCATTACCTAGGCATCCTGGAGTGATAGATTTCTAAACTTCTTGTATGTTTTATAGAGTTGAAGGGTACCAGATTTTGATTCTAAAATGTGACAAGGATAGGTAACAGTGAGCTCTATTAAAAATTTTTGACAACTACATGTACATCCTTTTATAATTTATTAGATATCTGAGTTAAGACTTATTCTGAAAGTCAAAACAATATGCCTACTTTTATTTTTCTATTTTTGTCATACTTGTGGTGGATGAAGCTCTCCATCAAAAGATGGCGG